AATATTACTTTCGTAAGCTTATTCTGCAATTACAAGAATAACCTTATGAATAAGGGTTCCTTTTCGATTATTCTATAATTGTTAAACAAACATTTCTCAATACATTCTCAAGATTTTCTCAAGCTTTAGGCTTATGTTTGTAAGCTTATTAAAATATTATTCTCAAGTCAATTTGGTATGTTGGGATGTCATCTTTATTTGTTTATGTATGTGTTTTCTTTGCAATAACAAAAAAATTGTTCAGAAAACATTCAAATTCGGGTGTTTTCAAAATGTTTATTTCAACGTATGCATCGACAAAATCTAGAGTTTTTGTAGCGAAATTATCCTTTAGAGATATATAGTACATGATTTTGAAAAGAAGTGTTGACCTTTCATTCAACTATCGCGGTTTTCAATTATTTTTTCAAAATAAATGCAACAAGTTGTTTGATTTTTTATTGTTTTGATACTAATTCTGACATTACAAGCCAAACAGGTAGACCTCTATACTTGCAATTTTTTCAAAGTTGACCTACCTTCTCTTCATTGTACCATGGCCCTACCTTGATATCATTGTACCATGGGTCCACTCTTTCTGGTACCTACTCTACAAATGACACACATCACAATATTTTTATTAACCCAAGGTCTGGTGTGAAGATGGGATATATCGGTCCACTTCTTTTAAGTATTTTAACATCAGATTCCATTAAGGCTTGTCTCATCTCAATATTTCCATCAATAGAAAATCTGTTATAAAGGTGGTAGGTATCGTACAATTCCTTCTGGTACCTTCCCCACAAAGGTCAAAGTTTCAATAGCCAAAACGACCATAAAATCCGAAATTAGCAACTGGTTCTATTCAAATTACACACATCACAATATTTTTATTAACCCAATATCTGCTGTGAAATTGGGATATATCGGTTCACTCCTTGGTACCTCCCCAACAAAGGTTCAAAATTTTGAATATTCATTAAGCTCATCAAATGCAAAATTAACATTCGATTCCATTCAGGCTTGATACATCTCAATATTTCCATAAGCAAGGTCTGTTACAAAGATAGTACCCATCGGACCATTTCTTCTGGTACCTCCCCCACATAGGGTTCAAGTTTTTTGAAAAACAAAACGCTCAAAGAAAGCGAAATAAGCATCTAAATCTCTTCAAATTCCATACATCCAAATATTTTTACTAACGCAAGATTTGTTGTGAAGATGATATGTATCTGCCAACCCCTTCTGGTACCTCACCCACAAAGGGTCACAATTTGCTATACTTATATCTGTCATAACTTGCGAAACAAGTCGGCGATTCTTTAAAACTTGCTATATCTAAATATTTCTCTTAACCAGAAATCTGATATGAATTTATCGGAATTTATGGTTTCGAATAAAATTGGAAATAAACCTTAGATTTCCTTCAAATTTTGCACATACCAACATTTTTTATCTTTATTAGATGACGTATGAAATATAATACTTCGGTTCGCTATATCTGTTACCTCACTCACATTTCCACATTTTCCAAAAATTTGCACATATCTCATATAAAGTATAGGAAGTAGTCGATATAGTCCAAATCTGGAACGCTGTAATATTTTTATCAATCTTAGTTTAGATACGAATTGGTCAATATTGGCCAACTGCTTCGGAACCTGCCCCATAAGGGGTCAACAGTTTTAATAATCATAACTCAAAGCTGGGGGTATACATCGTCGCCAAAACCGACTGATACTATTTTACTTGTTTTCCCAAAGTTCAAGCAGAACCTCTTCTCCATAGCTTACAATTTATATTTAATTAAAAGAAAACCTTTTGGGATACCATAGTCTTTTGTTGTTGCAAAATGGTCAGGCTTAATCCCTTTATTGTTGTTTTTATAAAAACAACGTTTGTTTATTTTTAAAATAACTTCTGGGAAGAATATCCCAGACAAAAAACAAGGGAACTGATGAGGATTGGTGGCTCTTCGAAACCTAAGTATTCCCTGTCTTACCCCCTGGTAAATATTACCATCGTTCTCCACTAATAAGCCTGACCATTTTGCAACAACAAAATTTCTTTTTTTTTTTGTATCATCTGCTTTTTAATAATTTTTCAATTTTTTCAAAGGCTTGTGTTTTTATGTGTGAGTTAATAAATTTGTTTATTTTTTATTGTAGAACTATTTCCCTGAAGATGAAATTCATTGAATTTCGAAATACTGGAATATTAAAATAAATACAACACCAAAGACCTCAAGCTCGAACAACACTTGTTTTACTTTAACAATCTATTGAATTACTTGATAATTTTAATCAAGTTCATCACAAATTCATTCATTTTTGTCGTAATAAAAACATCTTTTTATTAGTCATTTACTTTCCAATAAAAATTATTATTAAAACGAACTGAAGTTTTTATGCGTTTTACTTAGCCGATTTGTTGACAACGAATTAGTTTTCCATTTCCATTGCGGTCGTTATTTCGTCTTTTCTTTTGTGTCCAAAGGTCAATACCAAAAAAAAAAAAATAAATCGTTGAAATTCCCCAAAGGGCAGATTAGCCATGATTCCTCAGGCGCCACCCTATCCCCTCTTCCATATGCCATGTGTATGGCAATAAAACTGTGGGTGACTCAGGTTAAAGTGGTGAGGTGTTATATTGTCGTTTACATTAACTTATTATCCACTTTTTTACAATTTAGTGGTGATTTTTTACTGTTTATTGTTGTTGAGTTTGTTAACATTTTTATGATTGTGATTTTTGCCTCCCCGAAGGAGGGTGGAAGGCTGTGGAGGAGTTTGTTTGGCAAATAAAAAACGAATGTTTATATGTATGTGTACATGTATGTAGGTAAACATATATACCACCAAACGCGGAAAATTCAAGCATATACAGGGTAAGATGAAAAAACTACAACCAACTTCAGACTGCTGTAATTTCTAAGACACACGTTCGACAGCTGTTAAAATTATTCCAGTGATAGCTCTTTATATTGTTTAAAAGCGTGCAAAAGCATTTTGATGAGAATTTTCAAGAAAAAAGTTATTCGTGATGGAATTCAAGCGTGACAGTGTGATTTCTTTATATTTGGCTGGAAAACCACAAGTGGCTATCGTTAGAGTACTCCAGCATCTAAATGTGAATAAATCTTTTGTGTCGCGTACCATCGCCCGTTACCGTGATACTACTTGCGTAGCCCGACGTCAAGGAAGTGGACGGGAGAAAACAGCATCATCAGCAGAAATGGTTCGAAATGTAATAAAGCGACTTGATCGAAACCCACGTCGCAGTGGCCGAAAAATGACTCGTTAGCTGAACAAATCGCAATATTCCATACGGAAAATATTGAAAATGAGCTCGGGGCAAAGCCATTTTAATTCCAAAAAGTGCAAGAACTTACACCGCAACAGAGAGAAAATAGACTCAAAAGAGTTAGGCTGGAAATACATAAAGCGCATATTTGGATGGCGTAAGTCATCGGCTGGCTTCTTCGTAGATGAACAAAGGAGTTTTAGGTTGACCTAGTTCGATTTTGGCCCTAGGCTCCTTTGTTCATTTCCGAAGAAGCCAGCCGATGACTTAAGCCATCCAAATAAGCGCTTTATATATTCCCAGCTTTAGAGTTGCTTCGCTTGGCCGAAAGTGGTGAACGGCCGAATTTGGTTTTCTCCGATGAGAAAACAATCGTTGTCCAGCAGTTTGTAAATAAACAAAAAGATCGTGTTTACTTGCCAAAGAGGTCAGCTGAAAATGTGCACCTTCGGTTGGCCACCAGAACTCAAGCGCCGGCCATGATGATGGTGTGAGCCGCCATAACAGCCGATGGTCGCTCTCCGCTCGTATTAATCGACCATGGCATCAGAATAAATGCCGAATATTATCGCGAAAATATTCCGGAGGGTGCATTAAACCTTGGCATTCCAACAGGGCTCAAGACACACGCCACCAAAAAATGGTTACAAAATGAGGTTTCTCGCTTCATTTCCAGCACACAAGGGTCACCAAAATCTCCAGATACCAATCCGTTGGATCATTGTGTCTGGGGTATTTTGGGAAGCAAACAAAAATACCAAAGTGTCGATCACCTCAAGCAGGCGCTTCGCTGGGAATGGTCCAAAATTACGCAGAGCAACATTCGGGCAGTGTGTGATGGTTCCATTGGCCGTCTGAAGGCCATAATTCGTGCTAAAGGTGACCAATTCGAACAAATCTAAACTTATTCTAAAATTTGATGCTATTTCCGACATTGTTTGCCTTCATTCAATAAAATTTAAAAAATGTCAAAATTATGCCCTTTGACTTTGTTGCAGTTTTTTATCTCACCCTGTATATACCGCAAAAACTTGCCGGTGTTTAAAGTATGTAGATGGCTACTTTAAGTTTAGCCTACGGTTACACCATAACCAAGAACTTACAAAACACGCAACATAAGTGCTCTCTGATGAACTGCACAGTGGAAAGATAGGCTGAGTAATAGCCAGGAAAAATGTACAAATACGTATTGTAATACGTAGTGTATTTAAGGATTCCCTGTCAGAAAAGACTTCCAGATCAACGAGACATATACTGCTACTACTGTCTATAGAGAGTCTTTAAAATCTCCCATTAAGTAAGTTCTGATGGGTTTTTTTCGGATATCTACCATTTGAATTTCTCATTAAAAGATTTCTGGATTCTCATAGATTTTCACCACTGTGCAAAGGAAGTTTTATTGCGTTTTTAAACCGTATTGTGAAATTCTAACAAACATTCGTGAGAGCATATCCTTTTTTTTCGAAACAAAGAAAATAGGGAAAACAGAAGAAAACCACCTCAAACCAACTCACGAGTTACCAATGAAGTAATCAGGATAGGCAAAGGCTATTTTTGGAATTTTCACCAAAAAAGAAGAAACGATTCAATAAAAAAACAATCCAAATTCAAGTTCAAGTTAATAGGAAAACCCAAGCTAAATGTAGAAGAAACATTCAAGGTTAATGTCTTTATTTCGTTTTATACTTCCATTTTTGCTTTTTCTTCTTTTTCCGTAGAATTGGCAGTGCTGATACACTGGAAATTGTGGCCTCAAAATCAGCTGGAACGGGTAGTGAACCATCAACGCCAGAGGATAACATAAATGTTGTGGTACGCGTTCGACCGCTCAACGAACGAGAGAAAAGAGATCGACATGGTTCCATATTGCAATTTCCCGGAAATGGTCAAATTATAGTAAGTGTTGGAAGAAAAGATTCGGAAATGCGTGTGTGGTGTTATAATCATTTTAAATTCTTTACAGATTGAGGGCAGCAACTCGGCCAGAAGTCGTAATCGTGAAAATGTCCGCGTATTCACCTACAATGTCGTCTTTGAGCCTGGCGCTACCCAAGAGGATATTTTGGATTATTCTGGCATCAAGCGCATCATTGAAATGGGAATTGAGGGCTTCAGTTGTACAGCATTTTGTTATGGCCAAACGGGTTCGGGTAAAACGCACACATTAACCGGTCCACCAGAGTTGGTAAGTTCTAAATTTGTTTTTATACAAGAGAGTCGTCATATATGACGGAAAGAAGGGAGTCCTTATAGAGGAGTAGAAGGGTGATAAACGGATGCCAGTCTTTATAGACGAGCGGCAGGGAGAGTCTGTATAGACGAGCGGCAAGGAGAGTTTGTATAGACGAGCGGCAGGGAGAGTCTGTATAGACGAGCGGCAGGGAGAGTCTGTATAGACGAGCGGCAGGGAGTCTCTGTAGACGAGCGGCAGGGAGTCTCTGTAGACGAGCGGCTGGGAGTCTATGTAGACGAGCGGCGGGGAGTCTCTGTAGACGAGCAGCAGGGAGTCTCTGTAGACGAGCGGCAGGGAGTTCCTGTAGGCGAGCGACAGGGAGTCTCTGTAGGCGAACGGCAGGGAGTCTCTGTAGACGAGCGGCAGGGAGTCTCTGTCGACGAGCGGCAGGGAGTCTCTGTAGACGAGCGGCAGGAAGTCTCTGTCGACGAGCGGTAGGGAGTCTCCATAGACGAGCGGCTCCATTACTGACCTGCAGGCTCAGAGTCGACGACAAATCTGTGAAACTTACGATGGTAGTACATTAAGCGGTCTTCATTGTGGAGTAATCCTTCGTCGTGTAGTTTTAGCAGAGTTTTAGGCGGGTGGCCTATACTTCTTCCCTTGTATGTCGGGGAGTTCCTCTTATTATTCTAGGGTTTGTTCCACTATCCTATTTTCTACATCTTGGCATCTTTCCAGGAAGCCTTTCGTCAAGCAGGATAATTTCTATGTACTTCCTTATATCCGAAGTTCCTATTAGTTGCACACCAACCATGATCGCAGGGATATATCTCCGGAAGTACTTTGCTGTAGTGTAGTTTGCCTTTGTAAACCAGAGATACAAACTTTCCAACGTTGAGGTGAAGTCCCCATTTGTTGAAGTGGTCATCGGAGTACATAAGCAGTAATCCTACCTCAGGTGATCCAGAATTGTCGCTAACAAACATCGTATGTTGTATAAGATCCGGTCCCAGCAATGATCACTGAGGAATCCCCGCTTTGACCAGTCGGTGCTCAGACAGTTTCTCATCAACTCTAACCCGAAAGACTTTATTGTGAAGGATGTCCATGTTTCCATAAAGTATCAAAGGCTTTGGTGAAGTCCAGACCAATTGCAATTGCTCCCATTTTGGTCTTTTTGCTCTATATCCTTTAGTATCCTCCTTTCTTCGATGATCCGGTGGATTCGACGCAGTAGGAATTGCTCAAGCAGTATCCACAAGGGCCATAACAGGGATATCGGTTTTAGGAATTGGTGCCACTAGTGGCTATGGCCGATGATGTAGTGGTTAAACAATATTGTGAGGAAAAGGATAATGGATTCATCAGCCTTTATTACAGCGCTATCAGAAACCATATCGATGCCACAAGACTTCTTCAGTGCCCTTGTTGTTATAGTTGATACGACCATGTCTGGATCAACAGATCCGTTTTCCTACTAGTTAGGTGCATTGATGGAAACCCAAACTGCTGAATTCAACAGAGGGCACGTGCCGAATTCAGCAGATGGCATGTGATTTTTAATACCTTCGACTACTGTATAGAACAGCTTACGGAAGGAATTGTCTGGTGACTATCCTGTATTCGATCTGCCAGCATCTTAGCTATATGTGTGTTATCCGAGGCAACCACTCCATCATTGTTTATGATTCCTTTTATAGATTGCCGGAATGATAAGTTAGCGGCTCTCTTGACCTTCCAATTGCTTGATTATTATGCTTAAGGTGAGAGTATATAAAAGGCTTTTTTGACTAGCTTAAGTCATATGCTGGTTTCTTTGTAAAAGTAAAAGTGATTTAAGCCAGTCAAAAAAGCATTTTATGTGTTTTCACCTTTAGGCTATCTACACATGCGTCCAACGCGGCAATAGTAACATTTCTGTGGTCGGAAAGGAAGTGCTCCTTCCGTCCATCCTGTAAATATAGCTGCGAATCCTTGTTCTATTGAAGTAGTAGACTAATGCTTACTCGGCTCTTTCGATGTCATCAATGCTCGATGATTAGACTGACTGGCCTCCTACTCACTCGTATTTATAGCTTCTCATCTATACACGGAAGTATCGAGATTCCCAATATTCCAACGAAATGGACACAACGTCAAGAGAAAAACACTTCGATCTGAGATGCCGTCGGTCGGACAACAACGAGTGCGACATAATCTGCTTATCTTACTAAATTTGTGGCCTCGGGAAAATATTGAGAATATGGTGGTACAATAAATTCCAAAGGAACGGATTCTCTAATTCATTTTTTGAGTTACCGATAAAAATCGGTAAAGCTAAAATACTCATGATTTCGGTAATTAACAAAATTTTTCGGAATGTTAGCGACCAAATTAAAGTAGTTGTCGTACCAACAGCAACAGTGCTGTCAACTATCATTTCTCGATATTTGTGGGTAACTCAAAAAATTAGTTAGAGGACCCCACTACAGATCAGTTTCAAATAAAAATGTATAGATAACTATGATTCTGTCTCTCTGAGCCCGCCTTATAACATTTCAATTTGCCGATTTAAATGAATTTTTTATCAAGGGTAATAATATGTCTAAGACGTTTGTGGCACGTAAAGAACTTTTATGGAGTCACTAGTTCTTGTCATGTATAGTTCTTCTTTTAATCTACTTACAACAACGTCACCGACAATTTTCAGTAGGAATAAAACCCACTTTATCTCTTTCAGTTTCTTGGCAAGCCGAATCACAAAGATCCGCGACATGGTCTTATCTTCCGATCGTTTGTGTACCTCTTCCAGTTGATAAGGAATCGTCAGGATACATCCTTTGTTTTAAAGGCCTCATTTATGGAAATCTACAATGAAAGGGTGAGTAAATATACCAATAAATAAATAATCTCAACATCTATTCCCCCAAAATCAAATTGAAAACAGTTCTAGGTTGTGGGGTTAATTGGCACAAGACTTGGCCTAAAAAGGAATTTTAATTAAACATTATCCTTGCGTTCGGAAACATGCATTATATTTAAGTTTAGGTAATCGAATGAAAAACTGTAATTAAAAAAAACTACAACAAAATTACAAAGCAGTCTACTACTGCGATGCAGCTGAAATGTTGTGACCCATTCTAAATATTTTGCGTGGAATTTTAAATGAATTTCGGAATTTTTTTCTATTTGCTCTTCCACGGCACGCCTTCTCGATTTTGCATGCCAGCAGCAACAACAAAAACCAAATAAACTAAATTCAATTTAAATAAAAGCCAATGAAACACGAACTTGCAAATGGACAGGCCGTCCGTCAGACAGAAAAACTGCAGTCAACAGTTGCACCAGAATTTGTCATGCTCGTCATTATCGGTTGTCATATTGAAATTCCCCATTTTACAGGTTAATGGGGTCAATTCAATTAAACGAAGAATTGACGGTGGTTGTTGTTGTTGTTGCTCTGGCTTTACACGAATTTAAGTGACGTTCACATGTCCTGCAAATCGATTGTAATGACACTGTCTTTTAGCACATTTCCCTCCGGGCTTAAATTCAATCCAAAATAATGACACGCTATTGCCAATATTCAAAGTGTTTTCGTTGTGCTCTTCCTTTCAACAGGTTATTGATTTGCTGAATCCCGGTTCGCAGCGCAAACCCTTGTCCGTGCGATGGTCAAAGAAATCGGGCGGATTTTTTGTGGAAAATCTATTCACGGTCGATTGTGAAGAGTTGGATGATTTGTTGGCTGTCCTGGAGGAAGGTAAGTGTGAAGTTTGATTGATTTTGCATTTAAATTGAAATTACTAAAAATATTTGAACACTCAAGTGGAAGATTGTAAATTAAAGGGAAAATACGTATTTTGATAGACGTTCTAAATGTGACAACACTTGCAATGATAAAAAGTCGTGGAAATTGTTTTTAGATAATGGAAAAACTAGTCTCTTAGTAATATTGAGTAGTACTAACATAAAAAACTACGATCGAATGCAACTAGCGGCAAATATCTGAACTAAATCACTCCTTCAAAAAGAAAACTGGTGGCTTCGAAATATAAAGCACAGTACAAAAGGAGGTGACCATGGCCCAATTATAAGGTCTTCCTTCGAGCGAATTAATATAAAAACAGCTGTTATTTTACCAGATGAAATGTCAAAATTCATGCTTGAGGCGAAAATAAATATTTTCGCCTTGACAGACGAATTTTGTGGCGAATATATTTGTTGTCATTTTTTGTATGTGTAACACATGGTAGAAAAATATAGGTAGAAGCATCGACGCAGCTGCTGGGACAATGAACCCTCAAACCGAATTTGAAATTAAAAATGTTAAACAAAAAATTGTTGATATTTGTAAAAATTGCATGTCATAACAACCTCCAATTTGCCTCATATTAGAAAACGTATCTACTTATTTTTGACAAAACATTTTAACAATTTTGACATATCAATGTTCCCAAGCATTGCAATAATTTTTTGAATAATTTTTCATTTTAAATTTTTAACTTGAAAATTGGTTTGACAGTTCATTGCCCCAGCAGCTATGCAATGACAGATCGTCAGATCGAATTGACAGATCGTCTGGTAATCAGCTGAGCTGGAAGGGGACCTTATACTTGGATCATGGAGGTGACGTAGAGTTGTTCGAGGTCAGTCGCCCATGAGGGGTTTACAACCACGGTTGCCACAGTTAGTAGAATTCTACCAAAATGCGTAACTTTTTTCAGTGCTGGTAACTTGGTAACTTCGTTTTTGTTTTGGTAACTTTTAAGATGTAAAATCACGATTTTATCATTTTCCGAATTTCTCATAATAGAAGAATACAGGTAAATGCATCAAACTTCCAAGGAACATCGGTAGCAAATATTGAATGCGTAAAACAAAATATTTGACAATGTGTATATTTTTTACAGAAATTATGAGAAAAATACGGAGGACCAGAAAGGTTCGTTCGGAGTGGAAGGCATCCACTCATCATCAAAAAATAAGGTCCATAAAAACGGATTTAATGAATTTAGCTTTAAATAATTGACAGACTTTATTTTTAATTTAATGTGCCTTCCACATAGCTTAGCAGCAGCAGAAAAAACACACTTAACTTAAATTTAACTGTAATATAGTGAATGATGGCAACCATAAAAAAATTGTCAATTGACGTTTGCTGACATATCATAATCCTCGATCTCTTCCATGGTAGAAGTATATAGGTAGACGCATCGACACAGCTGCTGGGACAATGAACTGTCAAACCAACTTTGGGATTGAAAATGTTGAATGAAAAATTATTTAAATTTTTAAAAATTGTTGAAAAACACGTATTATACTAACCTCCGAATGACGTCGTATAAGAAAACAAATAAAAATTTATATATATTTGAAAAGACATTTAAAAATTTATGACATATCAATGTTCCCAAGCGTTGATGCATCTGCCTGTATTTTTCTATCATGATCTCTTCCTTTGGTGACTGGCTTTGAGTAAACAAGTATTCTTAAACATTAAATTGTAATTTCTATTTTTGAAGACATAACTATTATTCAATAAATGAATTCCAAATAATAAAAGTTATGTTATTAACAAAAACCAAACTCAGAAATATAATATAATTTAATTTAAATATTTATACAATGTAATGATGGCTAAAGAACTGGCTTTAGCAGATAACCAATATTATGTTTGGTCAGAAAAAGATTATTTTAGTAACTGACTTCAATATTTATTAATTCATTCGAATTCGCATATATAATGAATTAAAATCTTTTTTTATGTTACGCCTAGTTATTAATAAAAGTTTTTTTGTTTTGTTGTAATAATAAAAAGTTGTTGGTAACTTCTTGGTAAGTTTTCCGGAAATTTGGGTAGGAAATTTTTTTTACTCAGTGGCATCCGTGATTAAAACATTCCCATGGCATTGGTAGTAGTAGATAGTTTTCCGTTGAAATTAAAAGGGTTTTACAACGTTCCCTTAACTGCAACAATTGTAGTGATATCGCTAGAGTTGAGTGTGCTTTAACACGTTCCCTTGGGTCTAACACTCGTGGAGTTTTTGTGTGTTCTCTTGTAAGTTAAGAGGGATTTATAACGTTTCCTTTAAGAGTATTGTTTTACGTCATTAGATTTGAGAGGGGTATCTTAAGGTGAGAGTACATAAAAGGTTTTTTTTGACTAGCTTAAATCATCGGCTGGCTTCCTCGAAGAAGAACAAAGGAGTTTTAGGTTGACTTAATTCGATTTTGGCCCTGTCCTCCTTGGTTCTTTTCCAGGCAATGACTTAAGCCGGTCAAAAAACTTTTTATATACCAACTTTTCGTTCCCTCAGCTCTTAAATTTGTGGAGTTTGTTCTCTTGTAAGTAAAGTGGGGTTTCCAACGTTCAGTTTACTATAGAGAGCACTGTGTGGCAATTCGAAAGCACTGTCACCGTCAGCTATTGTAAGTTATTGTCATCAGCGCCGAATACATGCCATCATTAACCATCATATTGTGTCGAACTTCCGTCAATGGGACGCACCATTTATTTCCAATTGCCTGCTGTTTTGAATCCCATCGGCGTACAGTTTGTTGTGTTTCTTACAAATGGTCAAGTGATACATATAGAATAATGTGAACTGTATAAATAAATGGTCAAGTGTAATATATACAGGGTGAAATAAAAAAACTACAACAATGTCAAACGTCATCATTTTTTCCTTAATTTGAAAGCAAAAAATGTCGGAAATAGCATCAAATTTTAGAATAAGTTTAGATTTGTTCGAATTGGTCACCTTTGGCACGAATTACACCTTTCAAACGGCCAATGAAACCGTCACACGATGCCCGGATGTTGCTCTGCGGTATTTTTGTCCCATTCCCGGCGAAGCGCTTGCTTAAGGAGATCGACACTTTGGTATCTTTAAGTGCCAACCTTGCTTTCCAAAATACTCCAGACACAATAGTCCAACGGTATGGTATCCGTAGATTTTGGTGGCCATTGTGCGCTGAAAAGGAAGTGAGGAACCTTATTGTGTAACCATTTTTCGGTGCTGAGTGCTATGGTTGAGTCCTGTTGGAATGTTCAAGGTCTGCGGCCATGTTGGAATGTCCAGGGTCTGGGGGATTAATACGAGCGGAGAGCGACCATCGGCTGTTATGGCGGCCCACACCATCACCATTGGCGGCGCATGAGCTCTGGTGGCCAACCGAAGGTTCACATTTTCATCTGACTACTTTGACAAGTAAACATGATTTGTTTTGTTTGTTTACAAACTCCTGGATAACGAATGTTTTCTCAACGGAGAAAACCAAATTCGGCAGTTCACCACTTTCGACCAAACGAAGCAACTCTTTAGCTCTTTTGAGTCTATTTTCTTTCTGTTGCGGTGTAAGTTCTTGCACTATTTGGAATTTCAATGGCTTTACCCCGAACTCATTTTTCAATATTTGCTGAATGGAATATTGCGATATGTTCAGCTCACGAGCCGTTTTTCGGCCACTGCGAAGCGGGTTTCGATCAAATCGCTTCATTACGTTTCGAAGCATTTCTGCCGATCTTGCTGTTTTCTTCCGTCCAGTTCCTTGAAGTCGGGCTACGCTACTAGCCAAGGTAACGAGCGATGGTACGAGACACAAAAGATTTATTCCCATTTAAATGTTGGAGTGCTCTAACGATAGCCACTTCTGGTTTTCCAGCCAAATATAAAGAAATCACACTATCCCGCTTGAATTCCATCACGAATAACTTTTTTCTGGAAAATTCTCACCAAAATACTTTTGTACGCTTGTAAACAAAATAATGAGCTGTCACTGGAATAATTTTAACAGCTGTCGGACGAGTGGCTTTGAAATGACAGCAGTCTGAAGTTGGTTGCAGTTTTTTCATTTCACCCTGTATAGTCTAAAACAGAAAATTAAGATATTCGTCTGATAAGTCATGTAAGACTTAATTATCGAATGGTTCAATTTGATTTCGCTTAGGACAAGTATGAAGACAATATCAGTCCTTGTTTGCTACAATACTGGCATAAAATTATCATCCCTCATTTTCAGTCGAATTTGCCTTAACTTCGTTACATCATCAGCGAAAGTTTTTGTTTTAGTACAGAATCCATAAAACATGTTGAAGAATTTGACAACATTTTCATTTGGTAATTCTGGGGATTTGATTCTTAATTTTATTCGATGCCTACACAAGTATTAACATCACCGAAAACATTTCCTTAAAATGAAGAGTTTGAAATCTTTATCTTTATATGTCCAAGAACCCATATATAAACTTGGTATCCCTAAAATATGGAACGTATCATTGTTTTTACGTGCCAAGGAACGCAGAAAATAAAATATTATTTATTATTTTTGTAAAATCTGCCCCTCGTCATACTAGTATTTGAAAAATTGACAAGGACGAGTTCATCAGAAAAGGATAGTCATATTCAATTTAGCAAATGAGTTTACCTCTCTTATTTTGCCATGCATATATATCGTTGTAAAAAATATTACAAAGTGAGAAAACACACACTTTAGCTGAAATGAAATTGCCTAAAAAGTTGGGATTTTTTTTATATTCAGAATTCTGTATGTGTAAAAATCTCATACATAATCTAACCTCACAATGTTCTCTAAATGTCCAAAAAAAGTATTGATATGTTAATTGGCCCACAAAGAATCGAAAGTATTAAATTTATGAAGACCATCGTTGTATTGATATCCAAATTACTTTGACATATTTAAAATGTTTTCCCCTTTTAGTTAATTCCATAACAGCAACCGTATCAACAACACACAATTTTACGCTAAATTGATAGTGAACTTTAGAGTTAAATTAGTGTGTCATTTCGTTACAAATTGATTTTCCATTTCGCTTATCAAAATCAATCGCATAGTTTATCGAAAAATGGTTTTACATTAGCAAAAGTGGGTTAGATGATATATTTATTTAATCTACTTTTTCTATGAAATGTACTAGTCATACATTCATATCTAGATATGCTAGTGGAGGTGGTTCAAAAAAGTTAAAAAGTTATTGAACAAATTTAATATTTCACAATGCGAGAATAAAATTGTTGGGCAAATTTGGCACTATCAATATAATAAGCAAAATAATATAATAGAAACATGATGATTAAATTGCGTTGATGAAGTACAGCTACACAGGAGTCGGCAGCTAGCTACCTCGAAGACTTTTGATCTATTGTATTTTGCAAATGAGAGAAGAGAAAAAACAACCTTCCTGCTCGGTTGTCATTTTAACTCGAAGGACCAAATGAACAAATGACAATGAAAAAGGACCAAATGAACAAATGACAATGAAAAATAAACGAATGGTTTGAATGTTGATTCGAATCCACGATTTTCCACCGTATTAATGCATTTGCATTCTTCAAGCCTCCCGTTCTCTTCGATTTTTCAATAGTGAAGGCACGAATGACCATGTGGTGATAAAAAATCCAGCCGGTCGGGTGTATTTCAAGTGTTCGCTTCCAGTTTTTATTTAAAGATATTTTTCTTAAGTGCTACAAAAACTAATCTAACTTAACGTAATCGCATCCACACAATTATTCCTATATATTCTGATAATAAAAGGAGAACATAGCCGGTATGCTTGTGCCTTCATTCAAGCCTAAGGCTCAGCAGTCCACCTTGACTTCTTGAGAAGGCCTCTCCGTCCTTATTGTTGGTCACCTTTGAACCATCCTACTGTCCTCCGTAAAGGATTCCTGACGAGCTGGCTGGTAGTAAGACCGACTTTTTGCTTTTCAACGAGCATCATGTGGGAAGAGCGGGGTGTAATCATTTACATAAAAAATACACATACAGGGTGAGATAAAAAAACTGCAACAAAGCCAAAAATTTTATTGAATGATAGCCAAAAATGTCGGTAATAGCATCAAATTTTAGAATAAGTTTAGATTTGTTCGAATTGGCCACATTTGGCACGAATTAGGGCCTTCAAACGGCCAAAGAAACCGTCACACGCTGCCTGTTGGTATGCGGTATTTTGGCCCATTCCCGGCGAAGTGCTTGCTTGAGGTAATCGACACTATGGTATTTTTAGTGCCAACCTTGCTTTCCAATACTTCAGACACAATAGTCCAACGGATTGGTATACGGAGATTTTGGTGGCCATTGTGCGCTGGAAATGAAGCGAGGAACCTCATTTTGTAACCATTCATTCGCGTGCTGAGTGCAATGGTACTGAGTCCTGTTAGGATGTCCAAGGTCAGCGGCCAAAATGTTTGCGTGCCCAAGGCTTTTATACATCCTCCTGAATATTTTCGCGGTAATATTCGGCATTTATTCTGAGGCCACGGTCAATTAATACGAGCGGAGAGCGACCACACCATCACCATGGCCGGCGCTTCTGGTGGCCAACCGAAGGTGCACATTTTCAGCTGATCTCTGAAACACAATCTATTTGTTTGTTTACAAACATCTGGACGAGGAATGTTTTCTCATCGGAGAAATCCAAATTCGGCAGCTCACCACTTTCGGCCAAGCGAAGAAACTCTTTAGCTCTTTTCAGTCTATTTTCTTTCTGTTTCGGTGTAAGTTCTTGCACTTTTTTGAATTTCAATGGTTTTACCTCGAGCTAATTTTTCAATATTTGCCGAATGAAATATTGCGATATGTTCAGCTCACGAGCCGTTTTTCGGCCACTACGACGCGGGTTTAGATCAAGTCGCTTCTTTACTTTTCGAACCATTCCTGCTGATGTTGCTGTTATATTCCGTCCACTTCCTTGACGTCAGGCTACGCTACTAGTACCACGGTAACAAGGGACGGTACGAGACACAAAAGATTTATTTACATTTAAATCTGGAGTGTTCTAACTATTGACACTTGTGGTTTTCCAGCCAAATATAAAGAAATCACGAATGGAATGGAATCAGTTTTTTTTCTGATTTATTCTCATTAAAATGCTTTTGTACGCTTGTCGGACAAGTGGCTTAGAAATGACAGCAGTCTGAAGTTGGTTGCAGTTTTTTCATCTCACCCTGTACATAGAATTACAACAACGACATGACAAAAAGAGTAGAATCTGCTAATTTTAGAACAAATTTTTCTCGGAGTGGTCTTGCTGGACTTAAAGCGGGTTTAACTCTTTACTCGAATTCGAGCGAGTTTTTCGGAGATCAAAATTTTCTTAAGTAAATGCTATTTGTTTGGTGTTTGCAAGGGAATTGACAGTTCAAATTCTTAATGCAGTCAGTGTAAACGCACTATAAGACTATCATACATTCATGGTAGATCATGGCAGAAGAATACAGGTAGATGCATCAACGCTTGGGAGCATTGATATGTCAAAAAAATTGAAATGTTGTTTTTTTAAATATAAGTAGATTTTTATATGTTTTCTTATTCTAAGTCAAAAGGAGGTTATTATAATTCGCGTTTTTTTTTTTTTCAAAAATTTTTGCAAATGTAAATAATTTTTTATTTAACATTTTCAATTCCAAAATTGGTTTGACAGTTCATTGTCCCAGCAGCTGTGTCGACGCGTCTACCTATATTCTTCTACCATGTGGTAGATGCATCAAATATAGAATATAGGTAGATGCATCAACACTTGGGAACATTGATTTGTCAAAAATTTTAAAATGTTTCTTCAGAAATAAGTAGATTTGTATATGTTTTCCTATACGACGCCAATCGAAGGTTGTTATGAGTTTTCAACATTTTTTTTTAAATTTGAATAATTTTTCATTCAGAATTTTCAATTCCAAAATTGGTTTGACAGTTCATTGTCCAAACAGCAGTCGATGCGACTACCTGTATTCTTCTACCATGCATACATTTGAAATTACAGTTGAACATATGCACATGTTACACTATTTTACAGGAATGCGGAATCGTGCCGTTGGCTCCCATGCTATGAATGATCATTCCTCCAGATCACACACCATACTCACTGTGCACATAATATCCGAGCAACAAACTGATGGTGGTGTGTTCCTATCCAAACATGGAAAAATCAACTTCGTGGACTTGGCGGGAAGCGAACTAACCAAGAAGACAATGAGCGAGGGAAAAACACTGGAGGAGGCCAATAACATTAATAAGAGTCTTATGGTTTTGGGTATGTCAGGAAGTTTACTCAGTCTTCTGAAGTACTAATTTATTACCCTTCTCTATTTCACAGGTTACTGTATTGCCTCGCTGAGTGATAGTAAGAAACGTTTCGGCCACATACCCTATCGTGATAGTCAGCTGACAAAACTGCTAGCCGATAGCTTAGCGGGCAATGGTGTCACCCTGATGATAGCCTGCGTCTCACCGGCCAATTATAATTATGCCGAAACTTTGAATACCCTACGTTATGCGTCGAGGGCGAAACGTATACGCACCAAACCGGTCATTATGATGGATCCACGAGAGGCGCTGATTTTAAGTCTTAAACGTGACATCAATGCCCTGGAAATGGAAAATGAACATTTGAAGGCTGCCCTCCATTATCACCACAACACGATTAAGGAGGCCAGCATGAGTGCGGAGAATAGTGCCGAATTGACCGAAATACCAATGGACAATGGTGGTGGGCCAATACCGAAAATAAATTTGGAACGTTTGCCCGAATTGGATGGCAGTGAGCTGGCGGAATTGGTCAAATTGTATATGCAAGAAAATGAAGCGTTGCGACAGGAGAATAATCATTTGTTTACGGTGCGAGAGACCATACTGCGTGATCAGGAAATTGTTTGTCGAGAAAATGAACGTTTGCTCAAGAAGCTGGAAGATGTCAATAAGTGAGTATTTTTATTTGACTTTTGTTCGGTGTAGAGGAATGTTTAGCCAAGGGACAAAAGGTGGCAAATGTGACAAACCCATAAAAGTCTTGGAACAACTGTATAACCCTTTAAATCATTTTATCTCGTTTACTTTGCTTAATTAAATTTTTGAACGGGCCCAGGTACAAGGCACAGAGTGAATTTGCAATCTGTTCTGTGTGTAATACCCGCTTACATTAGGATCTGTCAGATAGAATACGTTGTGTCCGTTACTGAAGAATGTCACATTCACAACATGTGCGTTGCCGTAACGGATTAATGTTGGTCTACTCTCATCTTTTGACGTGCGACAAATCAGCTGATAAAATTACTATATTTTAAGTTGTGTTTTCTTTTATGGTTTACTTTCTTCAAATATTTTTCTGTTAAGTTTTTGAAATGTGCTGAAACTAAATTTTACTACTAGTGCGAATCAGCTGTTTTCTCATGTACGGCGACGGATTTGACGAGTCTATACTTTTCATGCGTCACGTCAGCTAAACACGTTGCCGCAACGGCAATAACGTATTCTATCTGACAGACACAATTCTCGCATTTGACTTTTGAACGAGAGCAACACCTCTACAAATCAGAAAACTTTGAAAAATTCTAACTAATGTTTCAGGTCTACGATAGTCTCACAACGGCTTAAAGTTTCCTGAAAGCACAATTTCAAATTCGTCACCGTTTATATCCGCCACTTTTGCGGTTTAGTCGACTTAGCCAAAGTCTACACTTACTTCGGGCTAGAGGGTGGTACGTTAAATTTTTACCGCCTATATATCTCTATTTTGTCCCTCTCTTTATTGATTTTCGTGATCTTAGTAGTCAGAGGGTTCACCGTGTCACATATCTCTATTGTTGCCGCCTTTGCAGATGAACAGGCCCAACATACAATTGTTGATCTCAGTGTCGCTGCAGTTCGAACTAAATAGCGAACTTCAGATTGATTTATTAGGAAGCTTAGAAAGGTTTCACATTTTTGAGAATATAGGGCTTTAGTTGTCGGAGGATACAAGGAGTCATATATCCCCGTTCTATGGACTACTGGTGCTTAGGCACCCAGGTATCAACGAAGTTCCTTTAGAATACAGACGTTGCCCTGACTGAAAATCAGCAACACTGTGCCTATGCACAGGATCGCATAACAGTCCAGTGTGGGTGCCAGCACAGAGGTTTGGGTTATTTAGGAACGTCAAACGACAGCTCGTCTTCGATTGTTTATTTAATTCACAGCTATCCAGTATATCTCCTGGGCTTTTCACGATAGTAATAAGATTTGTTTCCCGAAGAAGAAGCCAATGAGAATTGTTATTCCTAACGTTGGAAAATTCGGTGGTCTTTTGGATTTGACTAAGCTCAAATCGATAACGAAGGGCCGTACGTTACCGGAAAGCGGTACTTTGGGAATTAAATACGCATTACGAAATGTGTTATTCTTTCCTGAATAATGTATAGATGTGCTTATCAAAAGTTGTAATGGTAAATCTATCACAACAGCCGATAGCGCTTTGGAATAGGGCTTTATAGTTCGAAAACAAACTAGTTCAAACAAAGGATTCTTTGAAAAGAACGTCTAAACAAGGTCAGTTAATCTATTTTTTTAATTCGCCGAACAATGGTAGAAAAATACAGATACAGGGTTGCCCATATTCGACGGACCTTTGGGCCCATTCCAATCGACGAGGCTTGTCCGCAGGCAACATTCTTTGCGTCAATTGAATTTTGTACGGGAACAAATGCAAATCAATGCGAATAATCCGTTGTAAAGTGGACCGAGCCATGCCCAACTGCCGAGAACGGCGTTTTTGGGATGTTCTTGGGGACCTCTCAACACTGGCTCCTACGGCAGCGATATTCTCGGCCGATCACCTTGGTCGACTTTTATATATCCTCTTCGGATTAGAAAGAGCCTTACAAGTCGAACATTTTTCGTATAAACGCTTAATGGTGTTCTTAGAAGGCGCACTTCTCACATTTTTTAATGTTATAAAAGCAAGTTGAGTTTTCACAATTGACTTCTTCTGTTGAATGTAAATTTCAGAGCGTAGCGTGTGTTGGTTCATGGTAAAAATCTGCTTGGACTGACGCTTCAAACGCGGTATGTCATTAAACGACGTGACATCTCTGTCAAAAGTTATGGCGTTGCCAGATGGGTCCGTCGAATATGGGCAACCCTGTAGATACATCAACGCTTGGTAACATTGATATGTCAAATTTTTTTTAAATATTTCTTCAAAAATAAGTATTTTTGTATATGTTTTCCTACACAACGCCAATCGGAGGTTGTTATAATATGCATTTTTTTTTTAACAATATTTACAAATTTGAGTAATTTTTCATTCAACAATTTCGATTCCAAAATTGGTTTGACAATTCATTGTCCTAGCAGCTGTGTCGAAGCGTCGAAGAGGATGTTAAATAATGTGTCATACATGTGAAACAATTATCAACGAATCACATTATAAAGAACGAAACTAACGTTGAATACTTCTTTCATTCAGGTAAATAATGCCATGTTTACGTTAGAACTTTTTGTAGGGTTAACCTACTTTGAGAGGATTTATTGAAGTAAAAGTAATGGGTATGACAATTTAATTCCAAATCCAGTGGGTTAACCCTCATATATATAAACGTACTATAAGAAGCTATATTAAATATCATTATCGAGTCGACCATGTCACAATCGAACCTTCGGTAGTAATACAAAAGGCCTATTTAATAAGGTCGCGCAGAAGGCGAATTCAGATCTTAGTCTTCTCTTGCTGTCATATTCACAGCAGATGTTGTTTTAGTAGAAATAATGGGATGTGTGAAATAGGAAGAGAACCGGATGCTTATTGCGGATCCATCTTTATAACAGATCAGGTGTTTATAGAAATATTGAGATGTGGCAAGTCTGAATGGAATTTATGGATATTACATATTTTGACCCTTTGTGAGGTAGGTAGCGGAAGGATTGGACCAATATATTCCATCTTCACATCGGATCTTGGAGACAATCGGACTCTTACAGCACATTTTATAAGCATTAAAATTATTCAAAATTTGGAGGTGGAGGTACTTGATGGGGTGGACCGACTTTCGCAACAGACCTAGCACTGATGCAAATATTAGGATCTCAAAAGTTGGAACAAAATAAGATTATCCTTTCTCTTTTTATGCAGTAAAACATTTTATTAAAAATTTCGCCTTTTTGTGGGGTCCATCTCTGAACTTGTTCTATATAATTGATAATAGTATTACTATGTACCAAATCGGATACTCCCTTCGAGAGTTATCGTGTGCACCAGCCAGTTAGACAGACAGGCGGACGGACGGACATCGCTAGATGTTTCTTAGTTAAAAATAAAATTAAATTTGAGGCATAAATCCATAAATCATCCATAAATCTCCTTAAAAAATATAATGTAATAACAATGTAAAGGCTCTATCAGATGAAATGTTTTTTTACATATGTAACGTCAAATTTTCCATACGTAGAAGTTGAACATATCGTTTGATACATGAACGACATTTGTGAAATATATGAGTAAAGCATTTATGTACTTTTTCGATCACAGCGAGCATCATTTCCACCGGAAAATATTATTTAATCAATAGTAAAAAAAGAATGGGTAAAAATTCATTCATAAAGTATTATAATATTTTATAAAACACTATATAGTCATATGTATAATGGCAATTTTGACATACACACTGAAATACACATAGATAATAAAAGTGACAACTTATATGTAAAACACATTCCGTCTGATAGTGCCTTAAACTATTTAGACTCGGTTAACGATTGAACTACATAGTGAATTAGGAACTAGTTCAGCCCCAAGAGCTGAAATAGTAGTACTAGTATTTTGAATATTTTAGTCAACATTTCAAAATAATATTTATATAAGTCACCCCCTATAACAAGACAAAATTCCCACACTACCACCCTTTGTCCCTTGGAAAATGTCATTCCATTGAGACTTTTTGCTTTCATGTTTAAATCGAGGTTAGAACTCATTATTTCCATTATCGTTTTCTCGTTTTAGATCGAGACGCGTCAATGAGAATAATGAGTGGGCAGATCAAATAATTTGAAATGCAAGCAAATGTCAAATAAATTAAACTTAGAACAAACGCACAACATCACCTAGTAATAGATGATAAACAAACACAGTATTGAATGTGCCACTTTTATAAATATAAAATTCTATTGAATATAACTATATATTTTTGTGGATATTTATGTGTATTAATGGCTTTTTTCCAAAATATTTCTTTTTGAATTATACAAATAAAAGCATAGCTTTTTTCGTTATGGTTGTTGTATTTGGTGTTAATTTATTTGGTATTACCATTTTTTATTTTTTTAATTTGAAAATCAAAACAAAAACTTTAAGAGTTTGTGTTCGTTCTCCTTTGATTCCGGCCAGGGCGGCATTGTCTTCAGCATCCGGTAGTGAGACGCCGGGAACTGAAATTTGGACCAATCCCCAAGATTCTCCAGATGAAAGAGATGTGGGTATTCTCAAGACAAAGAAACATATTTTCTAATTCAAAACTAAATTGTATTTCAAATTCACCACAGCCCAACGATTTGCAGGGACGCATATCGGAAAACAATGAAAAACGTACGGACGAGGAACAGCGTAAAATTGATCAAGATCGCATTGCTCGCAATATCATAGAAATGGCCAATAAATTTCCAAGCAGGAATTCCAAAGATGAAGGCACCAACACAACTTTACCGGCCAATGCAAATGATGTCAATACCGATGTCAATGGCTTTTTGCCAGAGTGAGTCAATTTGTTTATAAGTCAAGAGTTTTCATTTTGATTATTGAATATTTTCTCTTTTTTAACAGCATGTTAACCTAATGTCATATTATGGGAATGATTTTGATCCAATGGTTTCAGATATATACAAATGTTGAACTCTATTCATATTTCGTTATTAATTTAAGTGCTTAAAACATATATTTAGTTAAAATAAAGATAATAAACAAAATAATGTTTTTTTTTTTTTCAAGAATTCAATGTGGTAAGTAACTTCACAATTAACAAATGAGCACATACTCATATAACGAACATTTTAATGATTTGATATAGGTAATATCACACGCTTTAAAAATTGGCACCTTGCACAATTTTCGATACAAAAAATCTTTATTTGTTGTTTTAGTCATAATATTTAACGCGCTTATTCTGTAATGAAGGGCTGAACAATCTACAAATGCTCCCAAGTCATTATTCATTCCCAACGTCAGATGTGTTGAACGCATTCTCCTGGTCAACTAAATGTTTGGGCGCCACTCGTTCGTGAAAATCTCAAACAATTATCAGGCATGTCACAGGAACCAACTCCATACGAAAGTGATTTTTCTTCAGAAAACGTAAAACGCAAAAATTTTTTCGTCTTGAACCATTTTTGTTTTTGCAAGTGAAATTTTATTTTTATGGAAACTCATGACTATAAAACACTCTCAAAACACTAGTGGTAGTATACTATATCGTTCTTTCATTCCCCTAATGTTACCATATTGAATATATAATGTTGCCATATATACACGGAATTCGTAGTTCACCAAATCGTACGAAATTTGAAGAAGCTAAAACAAAAACGAACGATTTTGAATTACGGAATTCAAACCATTTCGATACGATTTTGTGATATGCTTGTATAAAATGAAAACACCGTGTGTGTGGTGTACCAAATCCAGTGGATAACAAATGTTAATTTCATTGCGTGTACGTCAAATTCAATCCACTAGATTTGAAAATCGATTTCATGTGACATATACGCAATGGACCTGGTACTTGAAATAAACTCGACCTAGTAAGTGTAAACGTACTTCCTCGTGTGCAAATATTACAGAGTTATCGAACAACATTCAGTAACATTTAGAAAGAAGACATCTGTTCCGAACAATGAATGTGTTACATTTATAAATTGTTGAGGAAAATATAATTTTTTTTAGTGCAAAATTAGTTACAATTATCTGAAAAACAAATAAATTTGTAAACACCTCTCCATCGGACAAAGCTGAGCTGGGTTGTCAGATATGGCGATTTCTCGCCGATCGTGGCAATTATTTCAATTAAAAAAATAAAAGATGTACATTTTAATGTGCATTTGTTATTAAAGCAACATTTTTATATCCTCCAACAATAGTATGGAGGGTATATTAAGTTTGTCATTCCGTTTGTAACACTTCGGAATATACATTTTAGACCTCACAAAGTATATATATTCTTGATCAGCATAAAATTCTTTGTCGATTTAGCGATGTCCGCCACTCTGTGTAAATCACTCTAGCTTCCGAACGAAATGAAGTAGGTTGATAAAATTTTACTCAAATGTATATTATGTCTTCAGGACTTTTAGTATTGAAAATGGGCCATGTAGGTTCACGTTTTGTTATAGTCCCCATGTAATGGTACCTCCCGATATTCGGTATTTTAAGCGATATTATTCAACGGAATTGTTTCAAATTTCGTATTTAGAATTTGTAATAGGTACTACAGCCTAAGATAGAAAATTGTCTGCGCAGGTTCACGTCTTCGCATATCCCTCATATGATATTCGGTATTTTGATGACTTTAGCGATATTATTCACCTGAATTGTTTCAAATTTGGTATTTGAAGTTCGTAATGGATATTACAGCCTGAGATAGAAAATTGTCTGCGCAGCTTCACGTCTTTGCCGGCACTTCTCGATATTCGGTATTTAAATGATTTTAGCTACATAATTCACAGATTTTTTTAAAGGTCCACGTCGTCGTATAGACTCTAATATAACGGCTTCATTGGGTATTTTTATACCCTCCACCATACTATGGAGGGTATATTAACTTTGTCATTCCGTTTGTAACTCCTCGAAATACTCATGTTAGACCCAACAAAGTATATATATTCTTGATCAGCGTAAAATTCTAAGTCGATTTAGCGATGTCCGTCTGTTTGTCTGTTGTAATCACGCTATCTTTCGAATGAATTGAGATAGATGGCTAAAATTTTGCACACATGTTTATTTTTCCAGTAGGCAGGTTAAGTTCGTAATTGGGCCATGTAGGTCCACGTCTTCGTATAGCCCCCATATAACTGTACCTCCCGATATTCGGTATTTTGATGATTTTAACGACATTATCCACGGGAATTGTTTCAAATTTGGTATTTGAAGTTTGTTGTAGGAACTGTGACAGAAAATTGTCTGTGCGGGTCCAGGTCTTCGTATAGTACCCATATATCAGTACCTCCCTATATTCGGTATTTTGATGATTTTATCGACATTATTCACCGAAATTGTTTCAAAATTGGTATTTGAAGTTCGTAATGAATACTACAGTCTAAGATAGAAAATTGTCTGTGCAAGTCCATGTCTTCGTATAGCCCCCATATAACGGTACCTCCCGATATTCGGTATTTTGATGATTTTAACGACATTATTCACGGGGTTTGTTTCAAATTTGGTACTTGAAGTTCAAAATGGATACTACACCCTAAGACAGAAAATTGTCTGTGCAGGTCCACGTCTTCGCATAGACCCCATATAACGGTACCTCCCGATATTCGGTATTTTGATGATTTTAGCGACATTATTCACCGGAATTGATTCAAAATTGGTATTTGAAGTTCGTAATGGATACTACAGCCTAAGACAAAATATTGCCCGTGCAGGTCCATGCCTTCGTACTGCCCCCCATATAATGGTACCTTCCGATATTCGGTATTTTGATGACTTTAGCGATATTATTCACCTGAATTGTTTCAAATTTGGTACACCTAAGTCTGTTTTTACACGGTCTTTTTGTACACGGTTTTGATATAACACGGTTTGAAAATTGAATACTTTTAATTTATTTACACGATTTTATTCCATTTAGCACGATTTGAAATTTTATGTACTTAAATTTTTTTGTCAAATTTAATTTTTGCGAAGTATGTTCATATCACAAAAAAGTATTTATGAAAGAAAAAAGTCTGAAACCATCGATAGTATCGATAGTTTGCGAACACTAGCTTAAAGATTTAAGTGAATTCCCCTTTAGCGCGTACAAACAATTTTTACTGGTCAAAGCAAATGTGAATAGCACTATGTGCATACAATAAAATTTACTGGTCAGAGCAATTGAAACGTGTTAATATTTTGTGAACTGTTAATGCAATAAGACGTGTTTGGTAAAGAAAAAAATAAAAATTCTTGTTTTTCACTAATTTTAATAGGTTTTAGAGATTAGGAACAAATCACCCATTTTTGTATAAGATCAATGTCTTTTTTACACGTTTTTTTTTTACACGGCTTCTTCTGGAACCAATCTGCCGTGTAAAAACAGACTTAGGTGTATTTGAGGTTCGTAATGGATACTACAGCCTATGACAGAAAATTGTCTGTGCAGGTCCACGTCTTCGTATAGCCCTCATATAACGGTACCTCCCAATATTCGGAATTTTGATTATTTAGACCCTAATATAACGGCTACATTCGGAACTTTTAAGATTTTAACAGAATTTTTAATGGATTTTATTTTTTTTTTGAAAATTTTCCAAATTCGTTCCAAATGGTGGAGGGTATTCACCCTTATCGCGTAACAAATTTTCCCAAAAAAATTCACCATTCCAAAAAATGCAATCATGTACTTTTTTTTACAAAAGTTCACAAAAAGAAATTATAATTATATTAATTTTGGGAATGGGGATTCACAATTGTCATGCGAACAAATATTCACAATTTCTACGCGATAAGGGTGATTAGCAGCTTTTTTACTTATTATTTTAAAGCGTTTAACAAAGTATTTTAAAATTTTTACAAGTTTTCGAAAAACCCCATTTCCGAAAAAAATTCGTTTTCTGTAGAAGCTAATTACGGAATTCCATTCCATATACTTGATACATATGGTGCATCCCGGTGTTTTCACGATTGTAACACACTTATTTGAAATTGGCAATTTAGGATTCGTCATGGGTCGTGGCTGAACATTTTCTAAGTAGGTCCAAGTTTTACTATAACCCCCATATGACGGGACCTTCAACTCTTTAGTATTTTGATTTCAAACTGACAATAGATCGTTCCAGAAAATGGTCTAAGTAGGTTCTCGTTTGTTCAGTCCATATAACGGGGTCACCTACCCAATGGACAAAAATTAGATTTTCATGCGAAATGCTATTAAAATATTTAAAAATTTATCGTTTTCGACCCGGTCCATTTTCTAAAAGAGGAATTTGTCGCTATGTGGTGGCTATGACGGATTTATTCACAAAAACAGGCTCCTAATACGATTTAAATTCTTTTTTCATCCCAAAGCGCCATCATTTATTCTCACCATAAGCTGTGGATATAAATTTAATTTTGAAAATTTTCAAAATTATTTTGTTTATTATTCAAGACAATGCATACACACACATCGTACAACTGTATACATGATTTTACATTAAAAGATTACCAAAGAAATAATTGGTATTCAGGTGGTTGCTCTGCCCTATCTTGGAAATTATTGTTCCATGGTTGCAACCATCTTATCTGTGAAAATAATTATAAATTTGACTCCTCCACAAATACTCTTCCCCTAATTTGTTTTTTTTTTTCCTTGTCTCCATCCCTTTAAAATATTCCCCAAATTAATTTGCAGAATTAAATAAAACACAGCTTTATTATGTTTTCATATAATGAAAGAATTATGCAAAGAACTATTTGCATATTTATACCATTTATATATTTGTTTGTGTTGTTTTGCCTGTTGTTAAATTATATTTTAGCTTGATAGCATTATTATTTGTAATTGTAATCGATTACGAATAAATTTATAAAGTTATAATAATATTATGTATTTCTAAATTTATATGATTTAAAGTTAAGAGGGAGGGGAGCATAATGTTTATAATATACACATGGATTATTTAAAGGAAAATAGAAGAATTATAACATAATACGTATCTATATATTTATATGTTGGGTAAGTGTGTATTTCTTAAAAAAAAAGAAAAAGAAAACAATAAAAAATCATATTCAATCAAAATAATCGAAATTTGAAACGATTGAAGAAAGAATATGAATAATGTTTTCAGTTTTTAAATTTTACACAAAACATAATCTAAGGAGAATGTTATGCACAGTGAGAGTGAGAGATGCTTAACAAAATCTTAAAATATGAAAACTTAATAATAAAAAAAAGAAAATTAAAAAATAATAAAAAATAATATTAAACAAAATATTACATTTGATGTAATATCCCGCCGATTTTTTCTTTCTTTTTTTTGTGGGTAAATTAAATATTGTTTAAATTTAAACATATTTACAGAGGTCTTGTTTTCCTTTTTATATATATGTATCGAAGCTTATTATATATTTCATGGTTTTGTTTTAAATTTATCTTCTTTTATGAAAATTAATTTTATTTTTTTGTTTAAATAAAATTATGAACAAAACTTCTATATCCCAGAGTTGTTTGAAGTGTTTCTTTTCTATGTTTCATTTAAATGTAGTGATTATATCTCCATATTTTTTCCGAATCAAGTTACATTTCTTCATGTTTAATTTTTAAAAAAATATTTCCGTTTTTGTAAAAATTTAAGCTAAACCAAGTCTGTAATTGTAGAATTAGTAAAGAACCTATTTAATTCTGTTTTTCTTTTTTTTTTTTCTCATTTATCATATCATAATAAGCGTATTTTGGCGATTTTTAGTTATTTTCTCATGAAAATCCCCCTATGTCGGGTGGTACTATCTTTTTCTTCTTCTACTACTTCTTTTTGTTTTGTTTACATATTGAGCCATGACATTTATGTTTCATAAGAGATACACGGAATTAATAATTAAATAGAGGAAAGAAGCGAGAGGTGGAGGGTATCTAGGAAAGAGGTAGATGATAGACGACTGATTATTTACAGGTTACACTAAGAGATTGAGTGAGGACAGAGAGCTTTGAAAGATAAATAGAATAGAATATTTACACCAAGTACCATCAATATTCCGCAATGATACTAAACATTACTGTTGTGCCCAATGGCCGTTGTCGGGTACAGCTCCTCTGAATATTTCGGACGACATTCGGCACAAAACCATTTACCCTGTGGAGCCACCATAATGCCCACACACTCAAAGTGAAACCATTCAATGAGACAGTTCTCACCATCACAGGCTATCATTTCGGAAACTTCGTCGTAGGGACAACGACAATAGCAATAAACCGATTCACCTTCGCGGGCCTGTCTAGCTCCAGCCGGTGGCCGAATGGGATAACGTATATTGTTGGCCTTAAAGTATTGCAGCGTTGCAAAGTCGGGATTTGGCAAAAGGGCAGGTGGTATTTTGTGATTGAAAGCCTTAGTCTGTGGAGATGGTGGTCGAGGTGGTTGTGAGGGCAAGATGGGTGCTGCCGCTGCTGCTGCAGCATTATTAACAAACTTAATCTTGGGCTTGAAGCTCTTCGACGACGATGTAGGTGTATGCAATGTGGGCGCTGTTGTGTTGTCATCATCCTCATCATCGTCACTACTGGTGTCCGAGGTATTGTAGTGGTCCACTTTGGGTGCTTCATGGTTTCGCGTGGTATTAAGACCAATTTCAGAGGGTCTGATTTTTAGCGTAGGTATGGGTGGAAGTTTTCCCTCTCCTTTTTTCTTGGAGGGCCTTTTGCGTGCTGACTTATCGCCGCCGGCCAATGACAAGCGTGACCTCTTTTTACCACTAGAAGTGCCGGTGAAACTGCTATTGCCACCAAACAAATTGTTTGCCGCATTGGCTGGGGTTTTTGGTGTTTTATGGCTTTTGTTTTTATTGTTGAGTATACTTTTCGAGGGCGTTGGGAGATCTTCTTTGCGCCATGTTAGCTGGGGAGGTGGCTGCGGCTTGAAGGCCCGCGAACCAATCATCAAGGGTGGTCCATTAACAATATTTTCATCATCACTGGTGTAACCATAGAATTTGTTGGGTCTTCTGGCACGCTTGGAACGTTTCAGTGAGCCATCAACGTCGGAGCAACTGCTGCCTTCGCTCATGCGATGATGGGCAGCGCCGCTAGCCCCACCATAAGGTGGCATTGTTATTGGCCTTGGAGTCAATGGCTGTTCACTGGAGTGCATTAGCACCGGTGGAGGTGGTGCGTAAATATTTTGTGCCGTCACCATATTCGGATGTGTTGGATAAACAGGAGCCACAGATGGGGGTAACACATCTATGGCTGGATTTATCAAAGAAGCTTGCGTAATGGCAGCAGCTGCATTTGTGTTGGACTGTTCTTGAGCTGTCAAGTTTGGATATTCTGGATGAGGAGGAACAAGCGCCGGCGCATTTGATTCGGTGGCATGACTGTGGCCACCTTTGCAAGAGGATTTGCGATCACGTTTCTTCTTTTTAACCTTGATTTTGGGCCTTTCATTGGAGGCCACCTCTTCGGGCAGCGATGGCGTTGAAGGACGACTATTTTCCACAATATCAAAGTTGTGCGATGGCGACAATCTAGTCTGAGCCATTAACTGGGCTCTCTTTTGAGCCAATAGCTCGGTTGCCAATTTTTGTGGATGTTCATCGTAGAACTCTTCATCTGTTTCCGATTCATTCGTTTCCAAATCACTCTCATAGATTAGGGGTTCTTTGGGCGGTGAAGGTGGCCGTGCTTCTTCAAGTTTCTGTTGATCCTCTTCATCGTCGATATTCACTACATCGTGAGTGGAATGTTTGTTCGCCTGTTTGAGTGGCGATGCACTTTCACTTTGTTTACGCATGCGATCACGTTCAGACTTTTTGCGATGTCTCTTTTTAACGGATGCATTGGAAGCTGCAGACGAATCTGTTTCTTCAGATGACGATGAGGAGGAGGAAGATCCAGAATTGGAAGATGAGCAAGAGCAATTCGAGCCACAAGAGCAACTGGAATCAGAATCAGAGCTTGAATCACTGGATGAGGAGGAAGCATCCGATCTTCTGGATGTTCGCCTGGGCGATTTACTTTGTTTCCTTTGTTTTACGGGCGATGTTTCAGGAGTGCTGTTAATATCTGGCTTTTTGAAAATTGTCTCCTTGGGTGGTGGAGGTGGCGGAGGCGGTGGTGGCAGTTCATATAGCTTGCAGTAGTCATGGTCCGATAATGCAATGTGTACGGGACCATACATGATGCCATTGTTGTTTTCCTTGGGTTCGGCGGATTTTTCCCTTTCGCCTGGTTTACCCTGTTGGTTTTTAAGGAAATTCTGCCAAATCTCCAAAACTTTTCCGGGCTGGGATGTTTCATCTGGATTAAGATTCCCTGCTTTCGAACCTTCATCACCCTCGGCCTCTGAGGGTGGTGATAACATAACCCTAGGCATTGCATCTATTTCGCTTCTGGTCTTAGAATCCGAATCAGAATCATCACCGCTAGAATCGGTTTCCGAGAGATTGGGAGCGGCAAAATTCAAGTCCTCCAACAAATCTTTGCGGCGCTTACTCTTCTTACGTTTCTTGCGTGGTGTATCACCATCCTTGGCCTCACTTTCTTTGGCTGCTGTGCTCTCGGTTTTCGTTTCAGTAGCAACTTTTTCTTCCTTTTTGTCGCCAATTTCATCTTGTTTTTCCGTCTTAACCATTTCACCCTCATCCTCCTGTTCATCCACATCCATAGGTTCCTTCTTTATAACTATATCTGGTTTAACATCAGCAGAGGAGGCAGCTTCTGTTTTCACTTCCGAGTCTTTCGATTCAATGCCCATATTCTCCTTATTATCTTCAGGTTTTTCTGGCTCCACAGGTGGAAGTGGTGGTGGCAAATGTATGGCTGCATGTTTGAGCAATAGTTTCCGTGAAATGAATTTCTCTTCACAATCGTCTTCAATACAAGGATAACGGAAATCTCCCGAGTGTACGCGTTTGTGTACCCTCAAATACATGGCCTTGGAGAAGCAGAGATTGCAAACCTCACAGACAAACGTTTGCGGTGGTATGCAAAAGTGATAGACATGAGGCCACTTCTTTTGCAGGCATTTCTTGCATATGGTGCTCTCAGTACCATGTTTCCAGAACAAATGCTTGGTAATGTCCAACTTATTGCGATAGGCAATGCCACAGCGATAACACAAGTGATGAAGCTTATGCTTCCAAACGTGCGAGGACAATTTACTCTGATCCCGGCAATCTTCGAGACAAACATCACAAGCAAAATGTTTCTTACGCAAATGAACCATGAGCCGAAATGGTGAGGGTATATTTTCCAACTCACACAAACAGCAACGAAACTGGACATCAAACACTGAGACTTTGTTGGGCGCCCCCGGACAGATGTGGCAAAGAATTTCACTGAAGCTGAAGAAATTGGCACGGCACATAAAACAAAGAATTGCGGTACGCAGATGCATTTTACGATTGTGCAAATACAGCTCCTTGTGGGTGGCGGCCACAACGCGACATTGAAAACATTCGAAAATCCGTTCATTAAACGGTTTGGTGAACGCCCCATTGCCCAGGGTACAATAGCTGTTGGCATTAAAGTAGTGATTTTCCAAATCGGGAAGAAAACTTTTCAGCTTGGCCACAATAGTGTCAGCTTTTAGCTCCTCGGCTGTTATACTGTCGACAGTGGCAGTAAAGCGATGTTCGGCAATCATGTGCAACACCAAACTTTTGCCATTCACCGCAATGCGCCTGGCATGGTTGCAGTACAGACAGGTGTGGTAGACTGTTTTCAAACAAATTCTTACGAATTCAACGATTTCATATTTATCGAGGGGTTGATCAAGCTGTAAATCTAAGGTCAACGTATCATCATCGGCAACTTCAATGCCATCTGCAGGTGGTAATTTTATAGGCTGCACTTGTACTTGTTGCTGCTCATTCTCTTGTGGATTGTCCAAGTTTTGTGTCATTGTCTCATCCGGTTCCTTGGTATCACAAACATCAATGTCAACTTCTTCATCTTCTTCGGCGTTTTCGCTACGCTTAGATGTCGATAGCTGCTGGTCTTCAGCATTTTGCTCTGTGGTGGTAATGGTACTTTGTGTTTGTGGCAAGGAATCGCTATCCTCCAATTGCTGTGCCTCATCCACATTTTGTGATGAGGGCAGATTTGATTCTTCCTCTTCCTCCTCAGGTGTTTCCTCCTCTTCTTGAATAGCTTTTTCTTCTTCTTCCTCTTTAGCCATTGGATTTTCTTCATCATTATCTGTTGTTTGAGTGGTTTCCATTGTTTCAATATCGGCACTTTCCTTGGATGTGTTCATGTGATCATCACAGCTACTGGCCCGCTTTGAATCCTCCCTAAAAATGAGAAAAATAGAAATTAAATATCAACAAGAAACATTTTAAATAATTCCAACCTACCCATAAATGATCTGCGTGGGTTGGGCCGTAATGGTCTCATCAATGTCCATCATATCACTACCAATGGTATCACGTCGTTCTTGAGCAACGTGTTGCGTTGAAGTTGCCGGGGGATTAATGCTGTCCTTGTACAAAGTTGTGATCAATGAAGTGGCCACAACGGATTGAGGCAATTGTCCAATTTCTTCCGTTTCCGATTGACTGGTGTTGGGGTGCCTAATCAGGGATTCTTCATTTTCACCAAATCTATGACGGCTAAATGGTTCGTCGCTCTGCGAAACAGTTGTTCTTCGCGGGGTAAACCAACGTGAGTTGGGCGAGGCCGGTGGAGTTGGTGACCAATTGTGATCAGCTGTCCTTATACTACTCTGCGATAGGGTAGGTTGCCGTGGTTCCGCAAATAGCTTATTTTGATTGTGGCGGAAGGAGGTTTTCTTGGTACGCTTTATGTCCTTCTTGGTACGTTCAATCTCCTGCATGATACGCACCAAATTGGAATTGGGCTCATCCAATGAATCATCATCGTCCTGCGATAGTGACTGATGCAGTGTTGCTCGACTTTCTCTGCCACTTTCGGCATTGTCATCCTGTGAGTTACCAGCTTCGGTGGCCGACTCGGTAACCGAATTCCGTTCGATGTCTTGAGAATTGGCAGGGGTAGTTTCGCTAAGCATGTTCTTATTTTGATTAGTTTCCTCCGCAGGTGTTTCGTTGCGGGAATTATTATTACTACTGCGGGTATTTTCCTCTTCCTCCTCCTCCTCCACTTCTTCATCATTATCCTCCTCGCCATCACCATCGGCTTCCTCACTTTCCGAGGACGAAAGAGCATCATCGACAGGTTTTTGAAACTCTTTGGGTACTCGCAATTTGAACTTGGGTACCACAAGTCTAAGTGGTGGCACCTTTTTAATGGGACTCTCCACCCTTTCATGCTGCTGCTCGTCCTCCTCTGACATCTTTTCAGTTGCTACTACTGCTGGTCTATCTGGTGGTATATCAATTTCCATGGAGGTGTTTCTAAACTGTTGCTGTTGCAGCAAGTCATTGGAGACCAACGATTCTCTAGATAACGCAGGAGGTGCATTTGATATTGATATTTGCTGTTGTGGTGGCGGCGGTGGCGGTGGAAGTTGATTATTCACATTACAGGATTCATCGATGACCATATTACTGCTACTGTTGCTATCTTCGCTATGCAAGACAGGAGGAGCTGGTGGTCGTTGCAAAACACGACCACTATCACAGTTCAAATTGGAATTGGTTGTGGTGGTGGTGGGAGGATTTATGGGGAACTGGCAGCCAACTGCTGTTGCAGGCAATACAGGCGGAGTGTTGAAATCCATAGGAGGTCTAAAAAAGAAATAATATGAGATTAGAAAATATATTTAAAATCCATTATTGAGTAATCATACCTTTCCGTTCTCTGTGCTTTCTGTGGAGATGGTGTCTTCTCTTTTTTCTTCTTGAGTTTGGAGAACCGCTTGCTATCCGGATGTGCCTTACACTGATTCGTGTGCCGTCCCTTTTGGCCACACAACGCACAGGGTTTCATGTATTCCGAACAATCATGTTGAGAGAATTGATCATTCTCCTTGAAAACATGTTCACAGGTACAGCACATAAGAAATCGCGTCTCCAATGGATATCCCTCCATGTGTGGTATACTTTTCCTTAGAGATTCCTCCGAATTGAAATGGGTTTGCTCCAGGTCATGTTTGATTTCTAAATGCAATGCCAACTTCTCGGCTGTGGGAAAGAAGCGTACGCAATACATGCACATGTAGCGATTGTGGATTTCCCGAATGTGCAGAAACAGATTCCAATTCTCATGGAAAGTATTACAGCTGGAACATTTGTAGAAACGTTTTTTGCTAATTACCGGAGCCGTTGTATTGGCGGGCATTTCTCCCAAGGGCATGGCGACAGCAGATGCCTTAGATTCAATGGGTAAGCTCGTGGTGGTGGTGGTGGTGGCGGGAGAGACTGATGACGACGGCGGGGGAGTTGCAATTTTAGCAACTTGTGAGGGCGCTGGGGGCATGGGAAACAAACTGTGCTGCGACAAACAAAGTGCTTGATGTTCCGTCAAAGCTGCCAGAGAAGCAAAACTTCCAGTTTTACATTTAAAACAAAGATACTTTGTTGTGGGAGTCCTTATCACGGCTGGAAGTGGGTTGTTAGATTCTAAACATTTGGGACTTGGCTCAGGTATTGACACCGCAGATAGTAACACGTTAGGGGGTGGTGAAAAGGGAGGAACAGTCTGAGGTACATTTGGAGATGTGATCTCCATTGGCGCACTCTGAGATAAGGATGTGGCAAACACTGATTGATTGATGGCATTGGGAGCCATTATAGGTTTCTCCAGTTGCTGTAATAGCAGCGATTTAAAAGCAGGTTGTTGTTGTACCATAGGCTCCAAATTTTCATGATGTTCATGGTCATTGATTTCTGTTTTTATGGGAAAACTCATATTGTAGTGCAGAGCTTCCGACATTTCATTGTAAGATGATGTATCGGCTCTTCCATTTTCTTCCACGCCGGCTGTTTCGTTTGTCTTCTCTGTAGCGAAATGATACTCTCCCTCCTGATCTTCATTTAAATGCATTTGTTTTTGTTTGGGGCCCAGGCTATTGCCCTCATCCTCATCACTGTTATACGAAAGTTTACGCTTGAGACAAATTTTAAGGGGTTTAATTTTCTCTTCTTTAACATCATCCATAGGATGATCAATAACTAATTGTTGCGATGAGGATGTTGAATAGGATGCTGATGAAAGCATTGAAGCACGACTTGTCTCATCATCTGGATTATTAGGAGGGGCCTGTGTTAGCCGGGGAGAAGGAGAATACTGTTTTAGTTGCCTAAGTGTTTGGGGATATTGACTCAGATGCTGCGACTCCTTCAAAAATAAACTCTCCTTATGTTCTGCATGATCCAATAAATTATTATTTTGAGTTTCTTCGTGGATTTTTAAATCTGTCTCATTTTCCGAGTCTTCATTTTCAGATTCGCTCATACGGCTGTTATCACTTTTATGGGGAGTTCCTTCTTCTTCTTCTTGGCGGAAATCAGGCTCTTGACTATTTTCATTGTGAAAATCAATTCGTGCCTCCTCATTTTGAGGCAAATGTATTGATGGGATAGGAGATTTGATTTTAGAGAGATCGTCTTCCACTTCAGCATTACCATCACTACATAATGAGGTTTCCCTGTCGATTTCTGTTTCGTCCTGTTTGTTTTGTGGGGAATTCGGCGCAGAATTAATGGGAGTTGATATTTCATTTGTTGCTTCATTTTGTGGCGAATTTGGAGATGAATTTGCCGCTGTCACAGTGGCTTGCAATGAAGGCACAGGAGAAGGAGTCGGCAATATACTTTTTCTACTATGATTGCTGGCATCATCACGAACATCATCGTCATCTTCTTGGCATTCCATGTCATCATCATGATCGCTTTCGTGATGATGATGATCACCATTCAGTTTTGGTGTTTGAAACTCTTTGTTAACATCACTATCTACAATTTCTTCTTCCGCTTTTGCATGATGTTCATTGGTAAGATAGGAGGCAATGTCAAATGAATTCCAGCTCTTAGTTTCTTTGAAACTTTCCTTATCTAGAGAAGAAGTTATGTTGTCATTTGTTTCTGAACTTTCATTAACAAATGATATTTTTGTATGGGATGGTGGTGGTGGTGATGATGATTTTGCTGTCGTAGTCATTGCTTCCTCGTGTTGTGAAAATTCTTCTGATTCTTTAGCTGGTTTTTCCTCCTCCTGTTGGGTAATATCTTGAGAATCTTCTCTTAATGTTTCTGTGGTTGGCGATTGGCTGCTGTGATTGCTTATATTTTCATCCTCATCTAATGTAGACTTGGTTACATTGCCCAAAGGAGAATTAATTGGCGACTTCTGATCTTCTTTCATAAGGGGTATGGAGTATTCAATTTCTTTGCTATCATCTTCTAGGCTATTTTCAATGCTTGTGCGTCTTGATTGACTTGTGGGTGAGTTTATTGCTTCCTCCATAATTTTCGAGCGTTTACTCTTTTGACTTTCTTGGCTGGTATCATCATCATCGTCAATATCAAATTTATAAAGTATGCGATGATTTGGATTGTTTTTCTTTGCTCTATGTGTGGATTTTTCGGTAACTATACTTTCACTTGACCTCTCTCCTCCACTTTCTTCATTTACTTGAATCGTTTCTTCTTGCTTATTAATTTGCTCCTCTTCATTAGTTTCAGAACAAACTTCATTTTGTTCTTCCGTATTACTGATTTCTGTAGAATCAAGCTCCATGGGAGTTGTACGAAAAGAGGGCGAGAATTTTCCTTCTTCTACATTTTCCGTTTCCTCTTCTTCATCACTTTTTAACAGCGCATCTTCCTGTTCCATTGAAACGGGCTCCCTTTTCGATCCACCTGAAGCATCATTACCACCTTGTTCCTCTTCATCTTCATCCGATTTAAGTAATTCATCCTCTTCTTCATCATTGTATTGAAATTTTTGAATTTCCTCTGTGGTTTTGTCTTCACATACTTCATCAATGTTTGCTAACTCTTTCTGTGGCATGGAGATCTCATTTTGTGTACATGAGATCGATTGTGGTTTCGCTTCTTGCGGTTTCTCTTCTTCCACCTGCTGTTGTGAAATGCTAGTACTCTGTGTAGTATCTACATGATCTTCACTTGTATCCATTGAATCCTGTGGTGGTTGCTGAATTTCCTCCACGATTCTTGATTGGTTATTTTCCTCCTGATCTTCTTCTCCACTTATATCCATGGATTCAGTATGCTGTGGTTCTGGCTGTTCACCCTCCTGCGCAACTTCTGGTTTCTTATCTTCTTCTTCTTCCTTTTGTTCATCATGTAATTCGGTTGGTTGTGGTGATGTCACATCATGTTGTCCTGTGATTTCATCAATATTTGTTGTTGCTGTTGTTCCATCATTTGATTCTTGACCACCATCTTTTGTAACAATTTTAGAATGGATTTCCCCCTCTGCCTCTTCATGTGATTCTTCAGTTGAGTGTTGTGTATTTGAATCTTCGGTCTCTACATCGTTTACGCTATGATGTTGTGGTGAGTTTTGTGTTGATGTAGAATCTAAATTGGTTTCTGTAACATGTGTCGTCGTATCTGGTTGTGGTGGATTAAGAGTTTCCATAATTTTCCGGCTTTCTACTGAAAAAGAAATAACGAAGAACAAGAGAGATAATATTAGAATCGGAAAAAATTTAGAAATCAAAAATTCAGATTTCATAAAAAGGAGAAGGAAAGGGTAATAAGGTTTCCTGTAAAGGCAATCAGTTGCTCCTCTTCTTATATGTGAGATGTAAAAACTGCAACCAACTTCAGACTGCTGTCATTTCTAAGCCACTCGTGCGTCAGCTGTTAAAATTATTCCAGTGACAAATCATAATATTGTTTACAAGCGAAAAAAAGCATTGTGGTGAGAATTTTCCAGAAAAAAGTTTTTCGCGGTAGAATTCAAGCGTGATAGTGTGATTTCTTTATATTTGGCTGGAAAACAACAAGTGGCTATCGTTAGAGCACTCCAGCATTTAAATGTGAAATCTTTTGTGTCTCGTACCTTCACTCGTTCCCGTGATACTGGTAGCGTAGCCCGACGTCACGGAAGTGGACGGAAGAAAACAGCAACATCAGTAGAAATGGTTCGAAAAGTAAAGAAGCGCCTTGATCGAAACCCACGTCACAGTGATCGAAAAATGGCTCGTGAGCTGAACATATCGCAATATTCCATGCGGCAAATATTAAAAATGAGCTCGGGGTAAAGCCATTGAAATTCTAAAAAGTGCAAGAACTAGCACCGCAACAGAAAGAAAATAGACTCAAAAGAGCCGAACGTTGTGATCTGCCGAATTTGGATTTCTCCGATGAGAAAACATTCGTTGTCCAGCAGTTTGTAAACAAAATGACCGTGTTTTCTTGCCAAAGAGGTCAGCTGAAAACGTGCACCTTCGGTTGGCTACCAGAACTCCCAGAACTCTAGCGCCGACCATGGTGATGGTGTGGTCCGCCATAATAGCCGATTGTCGCTCTCCGCTCCTATTATCGACCGTGACATCAGAAAAAATTCCGAATATTATCGCGAAAGTGGTGAACTGCCGAAATTGGTTTTCTCCGAGGAGAAAATATTCGTTGTCCAGCAGTTTGTAAACAAACAAAATGATCGTGTTTACTTGCCAAAGAGGTCAGCTGAAGATGTGTATCTTCGGTTGGCTACCAGAACTTAAGCGCCGATCATAGTGATGGTGTGGGCCGCCATAATAGCCGATGGTCGCTCTTCGCTCGTATTAATCGACCGTGGCATCAGAATAAATTCCGAATATTATCGCGAAAATATTCTGGAGGGTGTATTAAAGCTTTGGCCACGCAAACATTTTGGCCGCAGACCTTGGACGTTCCAACAGGACTCAGCACCATCGCACTCAGCACACGCCACCCAAAAATGGTTACAAAATGAGGTTCCTCCCTTCATTTCCAACCCACAATGGCCACCAAAATCTCCAGATACCAATCCGTGTCTGGAGTATTTTGGAAAGCAAGGTTGGCACTAAAAAATACCAAAGTGTCGATGACCTCAAGCAAGCGCTTTGTCGGGAATGGGTCAAAATACTGCAGAACAACATTCGGACAGCGTGTGACGGTTTCATTGGCCGTTTGAAGGCCATAATTCGTGCCAAAGGTGGCCAATTCTAACAAATCTAAACTTATTCAAAAATTTGATGCCATTTCCGACATTTTTGCTTTCATCCAATAAAAATAAAAAGTTCGGTGGGGCAGGACTCTTAATACCCCACCATTTCAAAGGAGATTAGAATTTTTCAAAACAAAAAAAATCCGAAAACTACCAGTTAAATGAAACCCGTTATATGGGGACTATAAGAAGACGTGGACCAGCATACGAAAATTTTTGTCATAGACTGTAGTAATCATTACGAACTCCAAATACGAAATTTGTTACAGTTACAGTGGATAATGTCGGAAAAAACATGAAAATACGGAGTATCGGCAGGCACCTTAATATGGAGGCTACACGAAGACGCTGACATGCATACGATTTTTTTGTCAGAAGTTGTAGTACCTATTAAGATCTTTAAATGCGAAATTTTAAACGGTTCCGATGAATAGTGTTGCTGAAATAATCAAAATACCGACCATCTGGAGGTACCGTTATATGGGTGCTATACGAAGATTTGGACCTGCATATAAACATTTTTGTCATAGGATGTAGTACCTACTACGAACTTCAAATACGAAATTTTAAATAATTCCGGTAAATAATGTCGTTAAAATCATGAAAATGTCGAATATCGGGAGGTACCGTTATATGGGGGCTATACGAAAACGTGGACCGACATGGCCCATTTACATTTCAAGGACTTTTTATACAGAATGACCAGAAGGTTCCTTAAAAATAACATTCAAAGGTATTTGTTGTGTAAGTAGACAAAAAATCCCTCCTATATAGGAGGCACAAGGCCCATTTTTGCACTATGAGATAAGAAAATAAACACCCTCGTCTCAACCTAATGTAGGAAATCCAGAAACAATTTCGATTTATAATTCAAAATAAACTGCGACCGGTTTCCAATCACTACAGAGTAAACAATAGATTAATATTGTTAGGTATTATTCATATATGGCAGAACATTAACACACTTATTGTTTGTGTCGCTGTTCATGTTGGTAGGTGGACTGTTCCAAATGATGCTACCTAGGAAACCACATATTTACCCTCATCTGATATAAATGTTGCTGGGCATATTAACCCTCAATCGCTTTAAACAAACAAAACAAAAACAATAATTATATGGAAGTATTTGCCTCCAAATCAGATAGGCCATAATATAGATAGTGTATGAGTCATACAAATGTTATACATACGTGGTACAATACGGCTGGGGCTTTGGTATTATTTTACCAATTACTATTTTAATTGTTACAATTTAAGCATTTCCAAACACACAACTTAATATTTGTTAATGTTTTGTTAAAAAAAAAGCGACCATCATTTGGCTAAAAGCACATGTTTTAACCAAAAACATTGAGGAGAGGGGAAATAGAATTATGGCAAACTTTAAAGCCGCCACCAAAAAGTGTTTGTTGTTAAACCGAGCGAGCACAAAAAAAAAAAAAAATGCGGAAAGCGGCAAAAAGTAAACAATAACAAAATGTGAAAAAAAAACAAACGACGACGACATTGCTTTTTTGTCTTTGCAGCCTGCCTGCCTGCCTTTGTGGTACCCACTCACTCACTTACTCAGCACAATACACCACATGTTTTTTCCTCTTTTATTTTATCTTCTACGCTTTTTTGTATAAAAAACTACTACTACTAATACATGCACATCCACGCCACTCACAGAAACTTAAATGACAACAAACATACAAAACAATGATACCCAGATAACAGAAATGCAACGACTTTAGTTGGTGATACAATTTTGAGGGGCGTGAAACGTATGAACTCGCCTTGTTGAAAAGCTGGTACTACATTGAAATAAGTAAAAAGCCACTAAGTTCGGTCGGGTCGAACTTTTAATACCCCCCACCATTTGGAAGGAACTTGAAAAATTTCAAAAAAAAAACTTCGGGAAACTACCACTTAATTGAAAACTTTTGCATGGAGACTATACGAAGACGTGAAACTGCTAACGAAATTTTTTGTCATAGGCTGTAGTGCCCATTACGAACTTTAAATATGAAATTTGAAACAATTTCGTAAATACTGTCGCTAAAATCATGAAAATACAGAATATCGGGAGGTACAGTTATATGGGGCTATACGAAAACGTGGACCGAATTTTGAATTTTACGCTGATCCAGAATATATAAACTTTGTGGGGTCTATTATAAATATTTCTAGGAGTTACAAACGGAATGACAAAGTTAGTATACCCTCCATAGAATGGTGGAGAATATAAAAACTGACTATGTTAATACATCGAAAGACAAATGTTGGTACCACCCAAACTTTTCTATTTCTACTGGAATCCTTAAATCATTAAACTCAACTCGAAATCACTTAAAAGAACACAGCAAATCAATTAGATTAATTTCTAGCCGGATTCTCCCAGGGTTTCAGACTAATAATAGATATATTATTTAAAAGTCGGGTTCAGAATACCTGCCTTTTATATGAATTGCACGGTATAATAGCACTGAATGAAACAAAAAAAAATATTTTTTAAGATTTTCCAATTTTTCTTATTTTTCCGAATAAGGAGATTTTTATTTACCCGAAAATCTGAGGACCGGATTATGAGAATCCCTTTTGAAGAAGTGGTCATATGATGGGTATATTTAAACAGTTGGGGAACTAAAACTTGTTTTGAACTCAGATATTAAAATAAAATCACCTATGTGTTGAAAAAGGATCTATTTTTGGGGATAATTGATGTCTCTAACCTTTCGAAATTGGTTCCATGTGTAACAATGCAGTAGCACTTTTTCAGGTTATATATTCAATATTATAGTGTCTATATCTCTAACAGCTTATACTGGAAAACTAAAATTAATAAGGAACCAAAGATGGAAAATGGTAAGTTTTGCACGATAGAAGGGGCCTGTTGCTATAACATGCTCCTTTGTTCATGCTGATTAATGATTGTGAAGTCTTCCGAGCTGAAGTTTCTGATCTAAAACAAGCTGGTCGATGGAATCAGCGTCATTTACGATTTGGAAGCTATTTGTGTATGGAAATAGTACTCAAGTCCTACACCATTTTTATAACTATATCGCTACCGCTGCAAGACTTCCCAAGTCTGATCTTAACAAATTACCACTTGCTATCCCACTGTAGTATGCTGCTGAGCGAAAGAATTTTTCCATTCCATTTTCGTGATGGTATTCCAACGTGATAGTGTGATTCCTTTATATTTGGCTGAAAAAAACCACAAGTGGCTATCGTTAGAGCACTCCAGCATTTAAATGTGAATAAATCTTTTGTGTCCCGTACCATCGCTTGTTACCGTGATACTGGTCGCATAGCCCGACGTCAAGGAAGTGGACGGAAGAAAACAGCAGCATCAGCAGAAATGGTTCGAAAAGTAAAGAAGCGTCTTGATCGAAACCCGCGTCGCAGTGGCCGAAAACTGACTCGTGAGCAGAACATATCGCAATATTCCATTCGCAAACATTGAAAAATGAGCTCGGAGTAAAGCCATTGAAATTCCAACAAGTGCAAGAACTTACACCGCAGACCAACATTTGGGCAGCGTGCGACCGTTTCATTGTCAGTTTGAAGGCTATAATTCGTGCCAAAGGTGACCAATTCGAACAAATCTAAATATATTCTAAAATGTGATGCTTTTTGGGATTTTTTTTGCTTTCATTCAATAAAATTTAAAAAAATTTAAAAGTTATGACCTTTGACTTTGTTGCAGTTTTTGTTTATCTCACCCTGTATTTCCCACGAAAAGGAGAGCTTCCAAAGACAAGTGTCCTTCTACAATTATTTATTGGACGAAAAAATATGTTAACCTATTCCCTGGATATAAGTACCATAATTTGTGCTCTATAAATATAAATGCGTAAAAAATCGCGTTATCCCTTAATTGTTTATTTTATTCGCTAACATTTTTAGGCAAACCTTGACTTTGCTTCAAGTCAAGACACGTTCCCGATTTTAACAAAAAAATTTTTATATGAAAGTCTATTTTAATACAGGTATGGACATCAAAATTTGGTAGGATTTCTTGATATTTTCTCAGTGTTTTACACACATTGTTTTGATTCAGAGATATGCATCTTCGGGCGTCTAAAACTAATTCTGTTAATATTCCCAATTATCCACGACACAAAAAGTGGTCCAACAAATAACGAGATATTTCAAATTTTCAAACAAATACTATCTCCTAATTCCTATGTACCTTAATAATTGGGGGACTCACCGCTCTATTAGAGACACCACTAATGCAAGCAACAAATCAACTTTCCAAAAACTATATCATATTTTGTTCTTGTTTAACTTTCAAATTAATCACCTATATAGACAATTTTTTATTTGCTATTTATCAGCACACCAACCTCAAATGAATACCATGTCACAACTGAATGAGTTTACGGGTTTTACTTTGGGAGACTGATGTGGGCCTTACATATCTTATCTCGCAAATTGTGCACCTTTCTTTTCTTCTACCTTTCTTTCAAAAGAATAAACAATTTGTGATAAATCCGTTTATGGTTAAAACATTTCTGGCAAATGCAAAATATCAGCTGGCCATCAGAGTCAACAAAACACGTTTCGTACAGGTAAACAGAGCAAGAGAGACAGTAGAATGTGTGCTGGGAAAAACACGACATAATAACAACAATTGCACAACCACAATCTCCCTGGTAAAACATAAACTCAACAACACACACACACATAATCATTCAAATGCAAAGACCCATTGTCGTCGCCACCGACATCGTATTTACACACACACACATTCTCTCAGTTGTCTAGGGCAAATAAAAAAAGAAAACAAAAAACACAACAACAACAGGACACTGCCGACTTGGTACACACAAAATAAAAACACGCGCCTTTTTTGTAACCAATATCAAAAACATTAACAACCGGGCACAAATTATTTTGTTATTAAAAACAATATTTACTAAATATTGGTATCGATCTGTTTTTTGTTTTTTTTTTTTGATACGACAAAAATAATTACCTCCTTATTATACGCTTGGTTTATTTCCGTTTATTGGCTGGGAAAACAAATTCCTCGTTTAAATATATTATCCGTTTGTTGTTGCTGTACAAGATGATGCTGATATTTACTCCAGGCACCATCCACTATTTGTTTAACCTTTGTTGGTAACATTAACGTGTTCTGTTTTAACAGATGGGTTTTCTACTTTCTTGGTGTCTTGTCCACCGCGTGGTGGTCGCCGAACAGCTTGTGAGACAAGCTGTTGTTGGCACGGCACGATTTACGGCGTTTTATCAATTGCCTGGTCTGCTGCTGTTCCGAATCCGCACACACTGACTGACGTTTGCAGACCAACTACCAACTGAATGAGACCACCATCAAACGAGTACTGCGCGTCAACGAGCCCGAAATATATTGTGTCTCGCCAGGCCAGCGGAGTCTCAACGAAGCGAAAGAACAGGCAGGCAGGCAGAGACAGGCTATGGACAGCCGCGCGCGCTCTGCGTTAGAGGAGAGACACCACCCTCTTATTTAATCGCAGCCAGCCAGCCAGAATATTTTTTCTTCACGATATGCCCGTTTTATCAAGAATTTCACAACTATCTTTAATCCGGCAATATTTGCCCATAAAATTCCATAAAAATTATTCAGCAAATATTCCACTCAACATCAATTTCTTGTTTTGCGTTGTTTCTTTGCCAAAGAACACAATGATTTTCCAAAACTTTTGTTAGAATTCTTTGGGCTATGAGCACACTTTTTTCTTCTTTCACTGCGAAACACACGCGACGACGAACCGTGAATGGATTTGCAAGATTAAATCACTTATTTTTCTCGTTTCAACAACTTGTGGGCTCTTAAATTGTATTTCAATCGGTTTGGCGTATTTCAAATTTGATATTTTCCATAAATTCATTAAATTCTGAGCTTTGTAATAGCTGTAAATTATTTCGAAAATATTTTTATTCGCCAAACAATAAAATTGCTGAATTTTTTGGCGTTAGCCATTTTTGTTAGGGTTGATTTTTTTCGTACTGAGTTTGACATCAGTGTTGTTAAAAGCAGCACGAGGTAGCAGCAACCCCTGACATGTGGTGTTGTGTTGGCAACACTAGTGGCGCAGAAAACTTCATGATTGGCAAGTACAGTTGACACCGTCGCATCATTATTGCGTACTTCATTTAAAATAATTTGACATGGCAACACTTTAAATTTATTGAGTGTTTAGATTAAAGACTTATGGTGAGAATACATAAAATGCTTTTTTGACGGCCTTTTTCGTAAAAGAATAAAAGAGCGTGGGTAAACAAGTAATATTTTGTATGTAGATTTCCAACGGATCTAAAATAAAACGGGTTGCAAAATATCAATTTTTACATAGTAAATCTGGATGAAGCATTAAATCCTGATAACGAGGGTAACTCATGGTAGAAGAATACAGGTAGTCGCATCGACACAGCTGCTGGTACAATGAACTGTCAATCCGATTTTAGAATTGAAAATGTTGAATGAAAAATTATTGAGTTTTGCCTTATTAAGGCGAAGATCATATGTTTTATGATTTAAGTGTTTGTTTTCTCTTTCGAGACGAGCTTAATGATCTGAAATTTGCAGTGAAAAGGAAAGCCAGATAGACACTATCACACACTCACCACTATGCGACGCGTTTCGCCGTTGGTTAAGCGGCTCATCAGGCATATTTGATGTGGATGATGGCTTACAAGGGCCGTTCTCTGGAAAGTAGTATATATTTCGAACTTATTGCAAATTAGCATATGCGAATTATACACTAGAAATTCTCCAGGTTCGACTCAAGTTCTATTGGCAGATCTTTTTCACAGCAACGTTTTGTTTTTGTAGTGATGGATTTTTTGTCCACAACAACTACATTGCTTCCAATGCATACACTTGTTTTAGTGCTGCTTTAGGAAGACGGGTTAATGGCTCTGAACGTAGAGACGGCAACTTCTAGTTGGCTGCACACAGAGGTCCGCGGTTCAAATCCCACAGCCAGGCTCGGCTGAATTTTTGAGTTTTGCCTTATTAAGGCGAAGATCATATGTTTTATGATTTAAGTGTTTGTTTTCTCTTTCGAGACGAGTTTAATGATCTGAAATTTGCAGTGAAAAGGAAAGCCAGATAGACACTATCACACACTCACCACTATGCGACGCGTTTCGCCGTTGGTTAAGCGGCTCATCAGGCATATTTGATGTGGATGATGGCTTACAAGGGCCGTTCTCTGGAAAGTAGTATATATTTCGAACTTATTGCAAATTAGCATATGCGAATTATACACTAGAAATTCTCCAGGTTCGACTCAAGTTCTATTGGCAGATCTTTTTCACAGCAACGTTTTGTTTTTGTAGTGATGGATTTTTTGTCCACAACAACTACATTGCTTCCAATGCATACACTTGTTTTAGTGCTGCTTTAGGAAGACGGGTTAATGGCTCTGAACGTAGAGACGGCAACTTCTAGTTGGCTGCACACAGAGGTCCGCGGTTCAAATCCCACAGCCATTATTTAAATATGTAAAAATTGTTTAAAAAAATGCATATCATTCAGATCCGATTGACGTCGTATAGGAAAACGCATACAAATATACTTGTTTTTGAAAAAAACATCTACCTGCATTCTTCTACCATTTAAATGTCAAATAAAAAAGTCTTTTTTTGCCACAGACCAAAAGTGACCGAATTCTATTCAAATAGAAGGAAATTGCTTACAAAGTAATTAATTATATTAACTTTTGATATTGATATATTGAAATATTCTGTTTTTTATAACAAAAAATACATACACGAAATTGGCAGAAGTCAGGCACCATTAGAAATAAATGTAATCAGCTGGGAGCTCTACCTTACCTTTTTGTTGTACCATTATTTCCTCTAAATAATTTGTGGTTATATTGTACTTTATCATCATATGATTAATTCTTTTTATTGTATGTCCCTTCATTGTCAAATTTAATTTGTAGCGAATAATTCTAGGGATTTGATCTTTATTTCAAGCCTACACAAGAACTAACATGACCGAAAACGTTTCCTTAAGATGAACGGTTTGAAATCTTTAAATTTATATGTTTAAGCCCAACAACAGATAAATAAACTTGGCATTCCAACAATATGCTAAGGAAGGTCGAAAATTAAAGATTATTTATAATTTTTGTAGAATCTGCCACTCGTCATACGAAAATATTTTAGATATAAAAATAGATGTCATTTGAAAAATTACCAAGTCGAGTTAGTCAGAAAAAGGTTGCCATATTCAATTTAGCAAATGAGTTTACCTCTATGCCTTGGTATTTTATAAAAATTATAATATTTTATGGATACATTTTTACCGCAAACTTTATATATTTTCACACAATAAACTAACAACACTTTTGATTAAATTATATATTCCGATGATAATAGGGCTCGCTGTGATCGAAAAAGTACCTATGCACTTTATCCAAGTGTATCACAACTAAAATGTCGTATGTATCACACGATATGTCTAACTTCTACACATGAAAATTGACATTACATATGTAAAAAAACATTTCGTCTAATGGAGCATTTAATAGACAGCTGAGAGTGTAAATCGAAGAATTATTCCATTCATTCAATGTCAGACGGCTTAATTTTATTAAATTGTTATTAAGAATATGGCACTAGTATTCCTTGAAAAGTTATGGAATAAATGTCAAAAGGATTCGTAATAAAAAAGAGATCACCTTGTTATTTTTGCCATGCTAATGGGTTTAATAGAACTAGAGGCTTAAACTTACATGTTTAGATGCCGTCCTTAAATATGATTACACTTGGGAACATTGATATGTCAACATTTTTTAAATGTTTTATGCTGTTATGCATTTTTCAACAATTTTTACAAATTTCAAAAAATATTTTCAGTTCCAAAATCGGGTTGACAGTTCATTGTCCCAGCGCTGTGTCGATGCGACTACCTGTATTCTTCTACCATGGTCGCATAGACACAGCTGCAAGAACAATGAACTGTCAAACAGATTTTGGAATTGAAAATGTTGAATGAAAAATTATTGAAATTTGAAATTACTGTTGAAAATGCATATCAGAACAACCTCTGATTTACGTCGTATAAGAAAATATAAAAATCTACTTATTTTTGACAAAAAATTTAAATTTTTTTGACATATTTATGTTCCCAAGGGTTGATGCATATACTGTATTCTTCTACCATGATATTACCTAAATTCGCCAGGTCCATATCTTAAAATCTACCAATTATAAACGCTGTAAAATTTATAATTTCAAAAATCTCCTAATTGTTATTGTTGTCAATTACCAACATTCACTTATTTGTATTATTTCTATTTTCAAGACACAAAAAAAGAAATTTAGTACGTCCGAAGTATTTGGGTAACTTTCATATAAACAACATGTGCTTTACTTGTGTGGTGAAAAACTTTAAAACAAATAAAATCTACTTATTTTTAAAAAACAAAAACCCTTTAAAATGTTTTAGATATTATTGTGCCCAAGCGTTGAAGCATCTACCTTTATTCTTCAACCATGGTATACTCAATGGAAATGACATTTGAAATCCACTGGATTTTTAATGTGTTTTTAATTCCCAAATGGTACAATGAAATAAAGGTAACTTCATTTCAAATTAGCATTTCCAGGTCTGCATTTTCTTCAATTTACCTTGTCAAATTTCAATGCATAAAAAACAGTTCCCATCTCTAATTTTGTGTGTAAACAATGGATTTATGAATATAGATTTTGGCAATGATATATTGTCAAATGTATAAGTTTGAAAAAAGTGTAAAAATATGATTACATGACATTACCTTCTTAGTTCTACCCATGGTACAATAAAAAGGTATGGTAGAGCTACCAGCTGATTACAATTTTTTTCTAAGTGTGCCCGACTTATGCCAATTTTGTATATGTATTTATTGTTTTGAAAAATAAAAACAAAATATTTTCAAAATCAATGAATGGAAGAAGCTTAAATTGCGGGGCGCTCCCTAATGATATTAACAAGATTTGCCACGGAATTGAAAGATTGAAAACTTAGGACCATATTTTTGAGAGAACATCCAGGCGTTTCATTCATCTTTCGAGGTATTTGACTCATTTTAAAAAAAATGAACAAAAAATATCAAATAAATGAAAACAACTTGTTGGATATAATTTTGAATTATTCTGACAGGAAGCGGGCATAGCCTCAGAGCTGTATTTATGTAGTTTTACGAAGCTGTTCTACCTCCTTATTGTACTATGGTTCTACCCATGGTATAAGAATATAGGTGCTTCGCCACAGCTGCTGGGACAATGAACTATGAAACCAAATCAAATTTTGGAATGAAAAATTACTCAAATTTGTAAAAATTACTAAAAAAATGCATAATATAACAAATCCGATTGATCCGATTGTAATGAAACTTATATAAATATAATTATTTTTGTAGAAATATTTAAAAAATATTGACACATCAATGTTCCCAAGCGTTGATGCATTTACCTGTATTATTTTACCATAAATTCTTCATGACGGGTGACAACTACTGCAACTGCGCAATATGGTCAAACATTTTTGTCAGGTGGTACCGTCGCTGCACGGGTCCATACAAGGACTTGGGCCGGCTTCGAAAGCTTCAAAATACCTAAGAGCGGCGAACGTTGTCGTTATACGGGGAGATGTACTAGCATGACATTTAGCGCCATCTGGAATGTCCTACCTTCATTACATTTCATTGTTTACAGTGTATAACAGTTTTTCGATAGAACAACAAAATAACAAGTATTGACAACAACCGCATATATTTTATATAACAACAGGGTGTTCTGTAATAAATGCAATATTTTAGTAAATATGAAGCGCCCTGCAATTGAAATAAGACACAAGAATTTAAATTAGAGGTTATTTAATTTTGTCACAATCGGGCTACAAAATTCAGTAAAATAAAAACTACAAAAAATTAACTTTTTATCTCCTAGCACAACTTTAGATTTCCCAATACTTTCTGAGCATAGAGCCACTTCGATTTTAAAAGCTATTTAAAAAAAGACACTTTTACTGTCGATCCCATAGATAAGGGGAAAAAGCGCTTAAAATACAACCTGTTTATACGGATTAACCCACATTATTAGGGATTAATGCCTAACCCTGATTTTTAATCAGATTTATCATACAAAAATATATCCTCTTAAAATCTAAATGGTATTTACAGGGTGAGATAAAACAAGTAAATATCTGTAAAACCCGTTAAACATAGAAATACCGAAAGTAGCCGTATATTAGGGTCTATACCAAAGACAAAGAAGTATAAAGATGGGACAAGACAGAGTCAAAATATGGCAACCCTGTGAAAAATACCTCTGTTGTTATGATATCGTAACCATTACCAATGTTAAGCAATTTAAACCTCTAAGGCAGTATGCAATTATTTGGGAAGGTATATGAAATAGAATTTTTAAACCAATATTTTGGATTATCCAAACTTTTATTTGTCATCCTTTCCTATAATTGTGTTTTTTATATTAACATGCCTCTATCATGAGCTGTTATTTAAGGTAGTATAGCCCCAAACCAATTGCTCAGAATGCATTTTGTCTAGTCTTAACCATTTTACGTCTTTGTCTATACGACGACGTGGACATGCATAGAAAACTTTTGTCATGAGCTATTACAATATTCAAATGCGAAACTTGAAAAAAAAAATCTGTTTATAATGTAGCTAAAATCATCAAAACACCGAATATAGGGAGGTAACATGGGGGTTATAAAACGTGGACCGGCACAGACAATCTCCTGCCATAGGCTGTAGTATTCATTACGAACTTCAAATACCAAATTTGAAATAATTCCGGTGAATAATGTCGCTAAAATCATCAAAATACTGAATATCGGCGGTACCGTTATAGGGGGGCTATACGAAGACGTTGGCCTACATGGCCCATTTTCTGTCTTATGCTAAAGTATCCATTACGAACATCAAATACTAAATTTGAAACAATTCCGGTAAATAATGTCGCTAAAATCATCAAAATACCGAATACCGGGAGGTACCATTATATGGGGGCTATACGAAGACGTTGACCTACAGGGCCCATTTTCAATACCAAACATCCTGCAGACATAATACACATTTGAGTAAATTGTTATCAACTTACTTCATTTCGTTCGGAAGCTAGACATTGCTAAATCGACATTGAATTTTATGCTGACCAAGAATATGGGGGTCTAAAATGTATATTTCGAGGTGTTACAAACGGAATGACAAACTTAATATACCCTCCATACTATGGTGGAGGGTATAGAAAGGGGTATTTTTGGAACTTTGGAACCCTATATCTCGGGAAGTATTGATTTCCCCCAACATTTGTGATTGGGATAACAAGTACTACCTTCGGTAAAAATTTCAGAATTATCCGCCAGCTGGAGCTAAACTCAATTTAAGCCATAATTCCTTCGGCAGAAGGGTACACAAACACCCCTTTTTCTGGCTTACATATATGTTGCCAAGGTCTGGCAGTGGGTTCTCTTATCAACCTAACCTTCTAAACAGGGATCTAAATTATCGTCCGATTGAATGCTCACCACAAAAATCCCCAAAATTAAAACACATTTTCCCTAAAATTGTAAGGTTACATAAGATTAAATTTTATTTGTGATAACAAAAAAAATTACAAATATAAGAGAGTGACTATAATATTATTTATATATTTTAAATTATACTCTACTATCGGCATACATGGACGACGAGCAAAACTCGTCAACTGCATGCCATTTCCGAATATATGTATAAAATCATAAAAAATAAGACAAGAAGATGAAGAAATATACACAAAAAAAAAACTCATTAGAATTAGACACTAGAATAAGAGAGAGTATGGGGGAGGGGTATACATTAGACAATAAATGACTAATTAATAAATTACAGAAAAAAAAACAAAATCCTCTCTGCCTCAGTAATTTCGTGTCATAATGCGATCCAAATCATTCCAGCTGCATGAATAGTCAATTTGTAGAAGGCCCTTTTTGCTCATACCAAATTTACTGCTATAAATTCCACTGTAGAGCGAAGATGAGGGACGACGTCCCAGACTGCTGCCCAGGCTGCAATCGTAACAGTTGTCAGGGGATGGGGCACTGCCATAAATGGAGTGGGTGCCATAGATTGACTGCTGTTGCACGGCCTGCAGCTGTTGCTGTTGCACAGCCTGGCATTCGTAGCAATCGTTTACGCTACAACACGGCAGGGTAGCATAAGGATTGCAATAGTCATAAGTGGGTGGCACCGATGGTGGTGGTGCCGGGAATTCCAGTTTCGGGGCAGGTTTCGACACTTTGCGCATGGGTAGAGCACCGTAATTCGAAGACTTGCGTGGCATTGTGGCCGTCAGATAATCACCATCACCAATTGAACTGTGCGGCTCGGTGGACGAGGAGGTTGAGGCACCTGGCGAAGAAAAAAACATTATTTAAATAACAAATCTTTTTTAGGATAAATAAAACACTCCTGAACTTACCACCATACAATCCATATAAATTCGGCTCAACATCTTCCAAGTTGAAATTCTGAAACTTCTGTGCCATATGTGAAATCATATAATCGTCATAGTTGTCACGACGTCCCACATCGTATATGCCGCTTGGACGTCTTGACGGTCTGACATTATTACAGCATTCCATTTGACACTGGTAATGTGATGTGCGTCGTTTGCGTGGCATTGTCGCCGCCATGCGTGGTGCCATTTCCAGTGGTTCCCTCTCATAATAATAGGGTGAATGAATTGGCTCCTCAATGGGACTTGGTGAAGCTGAGCTTTCATAATAGCCACGTGGTGAGGGTGACTGACCCATCTTCCTGGAGGAAAAAAAATATAAAACCATGGTAAATATGACAGAACGTTATAAAAATAATTTAATCCTAAAATATGTATAAACTATCTACAAATAGGGAAATTTTTAAAAATATTATCGGCAAGGATCTCCCTCTCGAATATCAGTATGATACTTTGAACTTCGAAGAACAAACAAAACAATGAGGGTTTGGAAATATGTAATTATAGAAAATATATTTATTATTGGTTTTCCATCGCCTGAACCGCACTTCCCAGGAAACGACTCTACTTCTTTGCTCAGCCTCTTTTACCGCCACCTATACTATCCGGCTTCATCTTCCAGATCTTAGAATTCCTTGTTGACATATAATTTCGTAGTTGCTGACCGCTATCATCTAAATAGTGCAATTTTCTGAAGGCATCATTGCTTGTCTGATGTATTTAACACAGTCTAATGTTGGTTTTCCGATGTTTTTTATACCCTCCACCATACTATGGAGGGTATATTAACTTTGTCATTCCGTTTGTAACTCCTCGAAATACTCATGTCAGACCCAACAAAGTATATATATTCTTGATCAACATAACATTCTAAGTCGATTTAGCGATGTCCGTCTGTCTGTGGAAATCACTCTAGCTTCCGAACGAATTGAGATAGAAGGCTAAAATTTTGCACACATGTTAATTTTTCCAGTGGGCAGGTTAAGTTCGTAAATAAGCCATGCACGTTCACGTTTTCATATAGCACCCACGTAACGTTACCTCCCGATACTCGGTATTTTGATGATTTTAGCGACATTAATCAACGGAATTGTTTCAAATTTGGTATTTGAAGTTCGAAATGGGAACTACAGTCTGTGACAGAAAATTGTCTACGCAGGTCCAGGTCTTCGTATAGGCCCCATATAACGGTACCTCCCTATATACGACATTTTTATGATTTTAGCTACATTATTCGCCAATTTTTTTCAAGTTTCGAATTTGAATATGGTAATGGCTTATGACAAACAATGCCTATGTAGGTATACATCGTATAGACCCCAAAACAACGCCTATATTCGGTATTTTTAAAATTTTAACAGGATTTTTTAAGGATTTTATTTTTTGAAAATTTCCAAATTCGTTCCAAATGGTGGAGGGTATTCAAAGTTAGGCCCTGTCGAACTTACTGTATTTAACTTGTTATAATTATCATTCTTTGGAGACGGAGTTTTTTCGACAGCCTCTCCTCTTCTTCGACTTATTGTCATATTCCTTTGCTTCATACATAGATAAATTGTTATAGCGGAGATCCCCTCAAAAATGCCTTTGCATTCTTGCAGCGATGCATCGAAAAACATTGGCTTTCTTTCGTTGCTCTTCTCTTGTTGTATACGTCTCTTCTTTTTGGCTAGACTCTTTTAAACACCGAAATCTCATCGCCGAACTCATCATTTTTTGCACCGGAGACATTCCCTCCTATTACCTCTTATGTTTAAATTTTTGCAACCTAGACTTCCAATTTCCTCCTCTCCGAACTCTTAATTTTTTAACTTTTCTACTTATTACCTGTCATACAGGGTGAGATAAAAAACTGCAACAAATTTTAAAAGAATTATGGCCTTCAAACGGCCAGTGAAACCGTAATACGCTGTCCATATGTTGCTCTGCGATATTTTCCGGCGAAGCTCTTGCTTGAGGTGATCGACACTTTGGTATTTTTTAGTGCCAACCTTGCTTTCCAAAATACTCCAGAGACAATTGTCCAACGGATTGGTATTCGGAGATTTTGGTGGCCATTGTGCGCTGGAAATAAAGCGAGGAACCTCATTTTGTAACCATACTTGGGTGGTGCCTGCTGAGTGCGATGGTGCAGAGTCCTGTTGAAATGTCCAAGGCCTGCGTCCAAAATGTTTGCGTGCCCAAGGCTTTAATACACCCTCCAGAATATTTTCGGGATAATATTGGGCATTTATTCTGATGCCAATGTCGATTAATACGAGCGGAGAGCGACCATTGGCTGTTATGGCGGCCCACTTACAAACTGCTGGACAACGAATGTTTTCTCATCGGAGAAAACCAAATTTGGCAGTTCACCACTTTCGGCCAAGCGAAGCAACTCTTTACCTCTTTTGAGTCTGTTTTCTTTCTGTTGCGGTGTAAGTTCTTGCACTTTTTGGAATTTCAATGGCTTTACACCGAGCTCATTTTTCAATATTTGCCGAATGGAATATTGGGATATGTTCAGCTCATGAGCCATTTTTCGGCCACTGCGATGCTGGTTTCTATCAAGTCGCTTCTTTACTTTTCGAACCATTTCTGCTGATGTTGCGGGTTTCTTCCGTGCACTTCCTTGACGTCGGGCTACACTACCAGAATCACGGTAAAGAGCGATGGTACGAGACACAAAATATTTATTCACATTTTAATGCTGGAGTGCTCTAACGATAGGCACATGTGGTTTTCCAGGTTTTTTTTCTCACCAAAATGCTTTTGTACGCTTGTAAAGAATGTAATGAGCTGTCACTGGAATAATTTTAACAGCTGACGGGCGAGTGGCTTAGAAATGACAGCAGTCTGAAGTTGGTTGCAGTTTTTTCATCGCACCCTGTATTTCAGTTATAGTATAGTTGGTGGTGTTGGGCAGTATTAAGCAGGCTTACAACGGTAATGGCGACGAAGCTTCATAAATAATATCATATCTCTCTCTCTCCCTCTCTCTCTCTTCAACGTATTAGTCTATGCTAGGTTGAGTCATATTATCATTAGTAGTTCTTAAGGCACATTTGCATGGAGTAAAATTAAATACCGTACATTCTCTCACATTTTATGACAACAATTTATCTCATTTTAAATGACTTTTTCTCTTTCTCAATTCACTTACTTTCTCACATAGTCGTAATTCTCCAAATCCCATGGATCCACATAGCATCGCTGCGATGGCAGCAATGTGGTACTGTAAATATCCTCGGTATTATCAATGGTATAGTAGGGCGATTCCTGTTGTTCATAGGGCGAATCGTCATGGTACAAAGCATCCTGGGGCAAGGGATGTTTGGGTCCGCGTCTGCGGGGTGTTGTATGACTACGTTCACGCATTTTTTTTTTTCAAATTAAAAAAAGGCTGCAAAGAAATATGAAAAAAAATAGCAATTAATTGTATTAATTATTCTCAAAAGTTAGTATTAGTTAAATATTTGCAAAAGAACAAGAATTTATTGTGTTTTAGCAGAACTAAACCAGTTTTGCATAAATTAACTCAATATGGTTACTAATTTCAAGAGCTGTTTAGAAAAGTTGATTGCAGACAATGGCGGTAAGTGCAGACAAGAGCTTTGCTTAACACATTCTTGAAGACTGGTTTTTGTTTGCCTAAGGACTTGTTGCGAATTTAATTTCAATTAATTTCTAATCGATTTTCTGTTAACACCAACCATGAGGTTTCCCCCTGCAGAAAAATCAAAGATGACAAGATGAAAGATGTGATTGATGTCATTTAGATTCTAAATAAATTTGCAGAGCAGAAACACATAAAGACAGCCTTGTAGGGGTTACGACAGATGATGACATCTTGTCACACTACTATAAGAAAATCAGAAAATCAATCAATAACAATGAGAAAACCAGTAAAGAAAGTCCTAAAGTCGTGCGGGACCGACTTTATGATACCCTCCACCACTTTGCTAATTTAGTAGAGCTGCGCACAACAATTAAAAGTTTTTATGGGAGAATTCAATCATACACGCTATGATTATAATTATAATTTAAAGTTCAAAGGACTAAATATGCCGAAGCATTTGTATCTTTTAAATTCGGACCTGTATTGCCCATTTGGTGCACAATTAAATTGAAATCAGATAAAGATATATATGGGAACTATATCCAAATCTGAACCGATCTCGATAAAATTTGGCAAAGATATTTTTGAGCTGTATTTGATATATTTCCCTGCATATTACGGCTGTAGGTAACAAATACAACAAATCGGATGAACAATATATATGGGAGCTATAGCTATATCTGAACCGATCTTCAAAAAATTTGGCATACTACCTTCTAGACTACATTCGGTCGTATGTGCCAAATTCCATCCCATTTGGGCAAATATTAGACGTTTGGTGCACAATAAAAGGTAAATCGGACGAAGTTATATATGGGAGCTATATCCAAATCTGAACCGATCTCGATAAAATTTAGCAAAGTTATTTCTGAGCTTGATTTGATATATTTCCCCAAATATTGTTGTTACAGAGTGCATATTACGGCTGCAGAGGACAAAAATAACAAATCGGATGAACAATATATATGGGAGCTCTAGCTATATCTGAACCGATTTCGATCAAATTTGTCACACATATTTTCAGGCCTAATATGGGTGTATATGCAAAATTCCATACAATTCGGGCTGATATTACACGTTTGGTGCACAATAAAAGGCAAATCGGACGAAGATATATATGGGAGCTATATCTAAATTTTTACCGATTATCTCCAATTTCAATAAGGTTCGTCCTTGGGCCAAACAAATGTTGTTTGCAAAGTTTCATCTCAATCGGATAATAAATGCGACCTGCATTTTGTTCACAAGGATACATGGACAGACGGACGGACGGACGGACAGACGGACTGACATGCATAAATCAACTCAGAAAGTTATTCTATGCAGATCATCAAAAGGAACTATGGGTCTATCTCGTTTCCTTTTGCCAGTTACAAACAAATGCACAAAGACATAATACCCTGACCACCTTGTGATGTAGGGTATAATCAGTACCCTGCTATTGAGGTTTTTCTGGGTAATTTTTTTAACTCTGTAATATAACCGAGGTATATTGCTTATGATTTAGATAATTCAAGAATCTATTAAAAAGAGAATTCATTATATTCACAAGTAAAATTGTAGAATATTTTCAGAGTGAATGATTAGGATATATTCAGGGTGAGATGGAAAAAGTACAACCAACTTCAGATTGCTGTCATTTCTAAGCCACTCGTCCGACAGCTGTTAAAATTATTCCAGTGACAGCTCATTATATTGTATACAAGCAGACAAATGCATTTTGGTGTGAATTTTCCAGAAAAAAGGTTATTCGTGATGGAATTCAAGCGTGATAGTGTGATTTCTTTCTGTTTGGCTGGAAAACCACAAGTGGTTATCGTTAGAGCACTCCAGCATTTTAATGTGAATAAATCTTTTGTGTCTCGTACCATCTCTCGTTATCGAGATACTGGTAGCGTAGCCCGACGTCAAGGAAGTGGACGAAAGAAAACAGCAACATCAGCAGAAATGTTCGAAAAGAAAAGAAGGGACTTGATCGAAACCCGCGTCGCAGTGGCCTTGTGAGATGAACATATCGTAATATTCTATTCGGCAAATATGGAAAAATAAGTTCGGGGTTAAGCCACTGAAATTCAAAAAAGTGCAAGAACTTACACCACAACAGAAAGAAAATAGACTGAAAAGAGCTAAAGAGTTGCTTCGCTTGGCCGAAAGTGGTGAACTGCCGAATTTGGTTTTTTCCGATGAGAAAACATTCGTTGTCCAGAAGATTGTAAACAAATAAAATGATCGTGTTTTCTTGCCAAAGAGGTCTGCTGAAAATGTGCACCTTCGGTTGGCCACCAGAACTCAAGCGCCGGCCATGGTGTTGGTGTGGGTCGCCATAACAGCCGATGATCGCTCTCCGCTCGTATTAATCGACCGTGGCATCAGAATAAACGCCGAATATTATAGCGAAATATTCTGGAGGGTGTATTAAAGCCTTTGTTGCAGTTTTTTATCTCAGCCTGTATACGCATAGTTAAATTTTGATTTTTATACCCTACACCACAAGGTGGTCAGGATGTTATGTCTTAGTACATTTGTTTGTAACAGGCAAAAGGAAACGAGATAGACCCATAGTTCCTTTTGATGATCTGCATAGAATCACTTTCTGAATTGATTTATGCATGTCAGTCCGTCTGTCCGTCCGTCCGTTTGTCCATGTATTCTTGTGAACAAAATGCAGGTCGCATTTATTATCCGATTGAGATGAAATTTTCCAAACAACATTTGTTTGGTCCAAGGACGAACCCTATTGAAATTGGAGATAACCGGTCAAAATTTAGATATAGCTCCCATATATATGTTCGTCCGATTTGCCTTTTATTGTGCACCAAACGTGTAATATCAGCCCGAATTGTATGGAATTTTGCATATGCACCCAAATTAGGCCTGAAAATAAGTATTCCAAATTTGATCGAAATCGGTTCAGATATAGCTATAGCTCCCATATATATTTTTCATCCGATTTGTTATTTTTGTCCACCGCCGCCGTAATATTCACTCTGTAACAACAATATTTGGGGAAATATATCAAATGCAGCTCAGAAATACCTTTGCTAAATTTTATCGAGATCGTTTCAGATTTGGATATAGCTCCCATAGATAACTTCGTCCGATTTACCTTTTATTGTGCACCAAACTTTTAATATTTGCCCAAATGGGATGGAATTTGGTACTTACGACCGAATTGAGTCTAGAAGCTAGTATGCCAAATTTGGTGAAGATCGTTTCAGATATAGCTATAGCTCCCATATATACTGTTCATCCGATTTGTTATATTTGCTACCCACAGCCGTAATATGCACTCCGTAACAACCATATTCCGGGAAATATATCGAATGGAGCTCAGAAATATCTTTGCCAAATTTTATCGAGATCAGTTCCAATTTGGATATAGCTCCCATATATATCTTTATCCGATTTCAAATTAATTGTGCACCAAATGGGCAATACAAGTCCGAATTTAAAATCTACAAATGCTTCGACATATTTAGTCCTTTGAACTTTATATTATAATTATAATCATAGCGTGTATGATTGAATTCTCCCATAAAAACTGTTAATTGTTATGTGGAGCTCTACTAAATTAGCAAAGTGGTGTAGGGTATCATAAAGTCGGTCCCGCCCGACTTTAAGACTTTCTTTACTGTTTTTTTTTTATTTAATTAGTTAGGGTAAGTGTACCAGTAGTCGGCACTTTTAGGCACTTTCAACATTCTGAGTGAAATTTTTCAATTGCAGAAAAATAAAGTTGTTCAGATTCCAAATTTTGTTTAGTTTTCGAAATAATAAACAACAATTGAATTTGTTTTTATTAAATTGGCAAAATTTGCAATTCTATTAAAATAGTAGTTTTTTGCCAGTAGTCGGCACCATTTTTCAATGCTCGGCATGTCTGTTTGCCAGTAGTCGTTTTATGGTCATATGGTATTTCAGTAAAAAAATATTATTTTGTATATTTTTTATTTCAAATAGTATAAAACAATGCTATATTACTAATTCTCAGTTTAATCCAGAATTTGAAATTAATTTCGTTTTTTAATAGTGTTTTATTTAATTATCATTTTAAACCAAATATAGGTAGAAAATCAAGAATAGTTTGGTTACCTTCAGTAACGTATGGATTTTCAATTAAAATAAAAATGAGATTAAATAAAATAAGAAAAAAGTACCTTTCTTATATTTGAAATTTGCGAATTGATAGGCAACAATTTTTTCAAAAAGCGCCCTCCATCTAATGCGTCAAATAGCTGACTAAAAAAACCTACTTAATTTAGAAAAGTTGGTCAAAAAGCTCAAATAAAAGCAACTGCCGACTCAAAACTATTTTTTCATTTAAGTAGTTTTTGGATTATTTTTTAATACTTTTCTCAAATTTGGGTGAAATTGGTCAAAATTGTAATTTTTCTAGTAATCGGCACCCCCTGCCGATTACTGGCAAATCTATTTTTTTTTCTGTTCCTAATGTCGGCATTAAATAATATAACAGAAAAATCTTCAGACTGTTATTCACTATTATAAAATATTTCTGATTCCAAAAGTATTAAATTTATTTTACTTAAATCGATTATTAAGTTGACGCCACCACTAATTTTTTCTTTACAAACAAGCACTATCGCAAGCGTACACTCACTGACGAAAACCGTTATTCTCTCGTATTAAATGATCGGAGCTCATTGTTTTTTTACAGAAAGAGAGAAGAGAACACTGTTGATGTTTTTTTTGCAATTATTTCATAATTTGGTCAATTGTATTCTTAGTTATTTAAGTTTAAATTACAAAACTGCCGACTACTGGGA